GGTTTTGCAGGGCAGAAAGAACACAGTCATGTACAAACAAAACTTGATGCGAAGTGACCACTCCCACCTCAACACACAAGAAAAACCTAGTTGCTCACTTTCTATTTCTAGCTACTATAGGTAGATTTGAGAGGAATGGGAGGTGCAAAGAACTGAAGGGCACAGTGTAACTTAATTGTTGCAAAGGACAGCAATTCAAGCTCCTGGTAAAACAGGTCTTAGAAACATAGAAACAGAGCGAGTCAGAAGGGATCTCCTGGGCCATCTAGTCTGACCCCCGGCTCCAGCCGGCTCCACTCACAACATGCCCACCATGTGCATGTCTAGCCTATTCTTGAACACCCTCACTGATGGGGCCTTAACCACCTCCTGTGGAAGCCCATTCCACACCCTTGGGATCCTAACTGTCAGGAAATACTTCTTGGTATCCAAATTGAACCTTGGTTCCCTGAGCTTCACTCTGTTGGAGCACTTTCTGCCCTTCTCTGCAGGGAAGAACAGGTCTCTACCCATCTCCGTGTGACACCCCTCACATACCTGTATGTCGCCAAAATATCCCCTCTGAGTCTCCTCTTCTCCAGGCTGACGAGACCCAGTTCCCTCAGTCTCACCTCATACGGCATCCCCTGCAAACCGGCCACCAACCTTGTGGCCCTACACTGCACTGACTCCAACCTGGCTATATCCTTCCTGTAATGAGGGGCCCAAAACTGAACGCAGTACTCCAGTTGCGGGCACACCAGAGTCCTATAGAAGTGCAAGTGGAGCTGACCTTCCATGTCCCTCCCAGCCCTGTAGAGAATGGACACTTCCTCTTCTCTTTTCATATGAGAAACAATTATTTAAAATTGATAAACCGTGCTTATAGCCCTGGATGGTGTATACTTTTTAGTGTTTCTGAAATATAAGGTGTTAATGAAGCCTGATGCCAGAAGGCCTTCAGCTCTGAAGCATTTGGGGAGAAACGTGTTTTGCATTGGGAAGCAAAATTCTGGATGGAGACATCCCAATTCTACTTGAGCCTCCCTCAGCTGTTACCATGCTTCCTAACACCCACCCTCAAATCTTGGCTAAAGCTCTTTTAATGGTTTGCCCAAGAAAGAATTTACTGTTTGGGTCATATTTAGAATAGACTCACTCAAATCAGGGAGAGTTTAAGCATAACTAACTTAAGTCCAATAATTTCAATGGATTTCCTTAATGTATCTATCGGTAGATCCACCTGGTGTTAACAGAACAACAAAAACTGCGTGCAAGAGTCCTGAACAGACTGGTATGGGAACACCTAGATTGAAACACGAATATTTTACATTATTACATGCTTCAAGTTAGAAAATGCTAAAGTACTCCACTGAATTCTATTACTTAGGCTACTCCTTCATACATCATAAGGGAAGAGCAGAGAGGGTCAGTTTCTGGAAAACATTTTAAATGAGAGCTTTAAAAGTTAAATAAATAATGGATCTTACTTGCATTTGTGTTACAGTAACAGCACGCATTGCCTCTTGCAGTGCAGGCTTTTCACAGCTTGTAGCCTAGCAGCGAAACATTCTTAAAAAGTGCTCTCCAGAGGCAAGCTAGGCTATCTCCACCCAGTGACGAGGTTATGAAGGAAAACATGTTGCTTAGCACCAGAGGACATGCCTTGTATGCAAAAGGTCCCCACTATGGTCTCCAGCATCTGCGGATAGGGCTGGGAACAATTCTTGCCTAAAAGAGCTGCTGTAGCTGGTGAATACTGAGCTAAATAGACCAATGGTCCGAATCTATATTCAACAAACACCTGCCCCCCCCATACACACACATTTTACACATATCCACAAACATGCAGAGTTAACCCTATAAGGTTTTCAATCGAGCTGGAAATTGTGCTCAGGTCTCATAAGCCTGAGAACAACACTTCCTCCCTAAGGAGGCAGAAAGTGCAAGTGACTTTCTTTGGAAACATAAACCAAATGGGCAGGAAGGATGATGCTATGCAGAGGTGGCTGTGGGGTTATGGAAACATCCTGACTTGTGGCCTCCTGCTTCTCTCTCTCTCTCTATCTCAGAGCTGCCTTGCCAGCTGCTAGTAATGAGAGTTGAAAACTAAAGATTTGGAGGGCTGAGAGTTGTGGAAAGTTGTTCTACAGCATCCTCATTTTTAGAGTTAGAACATATGCAACCCACAAAAGAACTCCAACATAGCTGCAGCACTTTAGAGACATCATCATCATCTTGGAATAGGCAGTGCTGGGAATTCCTCTTTGCCTAAACCTAGTGCCATTTTGCAGTGTTTCATACTGTATTCTAGTTCCTTTTTAACCACCAGAATTATTGTTCTTTTAATTCATGCAAATTGTAATTTGTGCAAATAGCATTTTGATGGTCTTGTACCTGGGGGTCAACATGTAAAGGCTGGCCTTATTGGTATTCTGGCAAGCACACCAGTGCAAGAGGCACACCTTCGGAAGGCAGAATGCTGCGCCATCGAGAGAAGGTGAAAAGGAAGTAAAGGCAGGAGAACGATGATAGAATGGTTTATTTTTTGTTATATTTGGGTGGGGGGTATTTGTGAAGCGAAGGGGGAAAGGGAAGGGTAGTGAGAGGATAGGCATTGGGGTCAGGGAATGAGGTAGGTAGAGTACTTAAGATAAAATTGTAAGATAAGTTTTAAAGACAAGTAAGACAAAGTAAATTTTATGAAGAAAAATGAGGCAGAGAGAGAACCCGGGGGACAGCGAACAGTGCTCAAAAGCAGACTGGCGAGAGGGTGGGGACTCCACCCATTAATATGAGGGGAAGCGGAGTTCCCGCCAAAAACCGATACAGCTGAATCTTCCTGAAAACAGGCACAGGCACAGCACCCATATGTGTGATGCATAGAAACCATGACAAAGAAACAAGGCTACAAACAGGTTAAACATCTGTTTACTTTTTCCTGAGGCTGCCAAATGAAAGCAAAACTTAATCGATCTTTGCTTCCAAGGGAGTGGCTCGTAGATCACTCCCTTCCTCCAACCTTTATACCTTTATCTGGAATAAAGACATTCCAGAGTTCCAAAGAAACAGATTCATATTTATTGCCTTTAGTTGTTTGAAAAATCGTGAACTGAAATGTACAATAATGACTTAATGTTGAATCATGCAAGGAGAAATAACTTGCACAAAATTAATCTTATTTGTACATGTGGAGGGGCTAAAAAAATCTATTTTATTTTCGATGTTTAACATATTTCCTGAAATGTCAAGGGGTTAAGAATTTTAAGCAAACCTAAGAAAGGGCCTTTAAAGTTAAAAGAGTGAATGAGTGTTACATATGAGAAAAAAATGGGTCCCTGGGCTGCCTGGGGAATGCTGAGAGTTGTAGGACATATTTGTCAAAATATGCATTAAGATTGCATCCTAAATTGCTATGACTCCTCCACAATTTTGCCAATCAACCTGCCATTTTCAGGGTATATACTTCTTTCATGCGCCCGAAAATCACAGTAAGGCTGGCCAACACAGTTCAGTTTCTTAAGACTGGAGTAACTTGGTCATAATTTAACAGGGCAGAATGCTCAGTATATGCCTGCCCTAAACACAACCATCACAGTTACAATAATAGGGCAGCTTCTTCTTCATAATGAACGGATCTGGTTTCACTCAATTTGAAATTGCCCTTAGTAGGATGCCTTTGAAGTGTTTAAGCAAAGCAATGTAGCTGCCAGACTTGAACACACAGTACCCTCCTTATCCGAATGAAGCATTGCCCTCTGGCACTGTTGTGCATCCCTACAGCCCCTGAAGGAGGGATCTGCTTCCTCTATTCACCTGAGGGGGCTGTCCCACAGCAAGGGGGAGGGGGCAGGGCAGCCATATAACCCTATGCTTATGACTAGTCCCCCACACCCCCTGGCTTCAAGCTATCTCACAAGGCTATTTCCTGGTTGGATGCCTGCCACCTAGCGACTCAAGTCCATACTGCAGGCTGCACATAGTTAAATTCATTAAAATTAATACATTTTAAAACACAAGTACCTCCAAGTACATACCCCTAGGTTCCCACAGTACACATGCTGAATCTCAGATGACTACGATTCATGCCCTTGGAGCTATGGTGCTTACAGACGTACATCCTATTATAGATGACACGTCCCGAGTCCAAAGCTCAATCGTTGCTTCTCAGGTGTCTTCCTGAAGTATCAGTGAAGGAATTTTGGTAAAAGGAGCAGGATCAAGGCTTTCTGACCCCCCGACTCAGGCCTCTAGAATACAGTTCCAGGAGGCTATTGTTTGCCTCCCTTTCCTAGCCAGACTGCACCCAGGACTGTGGAGGAAAAAACAAGCCAATTATTGAACAGACCTCTACATACATGTGTTCTGGTGGTCAGAAGGCCAAGGACACTGGGAGAAGGCACTACCCACCTGCCAGGAAGAACATCGCAGCAAAGGGGAGACTACCCTGGATGCACACACCAGACTGGGAAGTAGCAGCTACGGGGAGCTTGGTCCATTCTTGCCAGGAGTACCAATCGTAACAGAGGCCAACCTGCTACCCAGAGGAGTTCCTGCTCCATCACTTGGTTTCCTCTTCCTTTCCACTCCCCTTCTCTCCTTTGTGTTGGAGTCTGCTGAGATACTGTATTATCTTCCAATACCTTGCAGCAGTAAAAATTGTATGTGCTTTATACACATCAATAATGATGTGGTATAGAATGGGCTGGATTAATTCTGATGAAGAGAAGGAATCTTTTTCCGCTCAGAGATATTAGTTTGCCAAAAATTCCCAATAAATGAAAAGCTTATAGTTTAGGAAAGAAGATGCCAACCTAGCCTGCTCCTTGCTCTGCTTGTTTTCTACTTGCAAATAGGAGATCATGAAAAACTGGGATCCTCCATTCTACCACCAGGGCGTGGTGAAAAAAACTTGAAATGCAGAAGGAGCAGAGTGTGGGGAAGAAAGGAGCCCACAGAGGGTGGGGAAGAAGGGAGTGTGGGGAGATATTGCTATGCGAAAAAACAGAGAAAAGCCATCGTGGCCATAGAATCTCTTTATTCGAACAGAACACACACATACACACAGGGAAAAGAAAAAAAATACCGACAGGGCATGACGCAGACAATGCGAAAGGCCAATTCTGTCTTTTGTGGTTTAAGAGCTTCGAGAAATATTGCCACTTATATTGGGGCTGGGGAGGGAGGGAGAGACAGGAGGGGGCGAAGTTTTCTGGCCACCTGCAAGGAACAAGGTGGCGAGCGGAAGGATGCTCACTGCTTATGCAAGGGAATTCCCCACGAGGACTTCTTGTTCCCGCCACCACTGAGATTCAGAAACTGACTTCCGTGCACCGATACGCGATCTCCTGGCCATGCCCTCCCACCCCCTCACAGGCACCCACATTAACCTGCCCTCCTAATCGCAAGGCGTTCTCGGCTGAGCTATCGCAATGCTCTTGTCCTGCTTTTGTAGTCAGAGGCAAGGATGAGGCAGTGGTTTGCTTTTCTTTTTTAAACGCTACAAAATGAGCTACGTGAAGTCCAAAACATGTCAGCAGGTTGGGGTGGGAGGTCAGAAGAGGGAGAAGCAGCTGTAATTCTGGGGGCTTTGGTGGAGGATTGTGCAGCAGCCGGGAGGAGGTGGTACTGGAGAGAGGAGAACGAGAGCTCCTTGGCCTTCAGGGAAAGGTCTGGTTCTTTGGAGCATGTATCACAGACAGGGAGGCTGCAAGCCAAGCCCCCTAGACACTCTACAAGGGTCTTCAGTGATTTGGAAGAACAACTCTGGAGGAGGTGGCAAAAGAGTTTGGTTTGCAGTAAGTCTAAAAACACCCCCTGCACAAACTGAGCAAATTTTGGGATTCGGGAAGGGGAGAATATAGTAGAACTGGAAGTTACATTTCTGGAATATAAACTGGAGGCACACACACAGAATTTCTCCACTTTCTGCTAGACAACTGCCCCAAATAGAAGAGCTCCCTGTTTCCAAGAATGTTTGCAGAGAAACAACTTGGTGTTTGGATCCCACATTTAGGGAGACAAGGTACTTGCTGCAATAAAGGGAGCAGGTAAGAAGGCAAAATCAGAGTCACCAACAACACTTTCATCTGACGAAGTATAGTTGGTGCCTCTTATACCAGCAATACTGAAATTGGAGGGCAAGCCTGCCAAAAGCAGCAGTGCAGGAGACATACAGAGCTGCGGATCGTCTCTGCCATCTCCAAAGGAAACCGGGGGGCGTTTCCAAACCATGGATGTGCCAACTGGGGCTGAGGATCATCTCCTAGGCCAAATGGCTCAATGCCGCTTGTGGAAGAGAGACCTAGTTGTTCCTGCATGTACGTGCACCATATGCATTTCCTCGGACTGTTATCCTGGGTAGGAGCATGCAAGGACAGGCTTATGCGCTTCTTCTCCTATTCCCACCACACTGGTGATTCGTAGATCTGCAGGAAAGACACTGGACTTCCTATCAAACTCTTTGACAGGTTAGTCCCTGCAAAAGGAAGAAAAAATGGATAGGGGAAACGGGGCCCACTGAGAGGAGGATGGATGAGGTCAGGCCTGAATTCTAGTGAGATCCAAAGATACACCAGGGGCAGAGAGAATCAAGACGAAATTATTTTTGGAAGGGTTAATCCAGATTTCACATTGGTATGCACATGAAATGCTTTCAAAAATATGTCACTGTGTCGATGGGTTGAAGCCCCACTCCCCCAAATAATGGGCAGTTCTGGGGGTGGGGGAGAGCAGCCCGTTTCAGCCTGGACAAAGGAAGGTTTGCTCTGCTTCTGTCTCCCAAGCAACCACTGCTTTCTCGTGGAGATGAGCTTCCAAGTCTTGGGGCTGAGCACACATGTTAAGATGCAAAAAAATGGTATTCGTCCCAATGTAGAAAGAAAAATTTGTATGAACCCTGCACCTGTCACACAAGCCCAAATCTGTCGCTGTTGTCCTAACCGTTATGACTAGAGGCAGCAGCACTCAGTAGAAAGCAGCACAGCCTTCTGAACCCAAACTCCAACCTTTCTCACACTGTGTGATGCTTCTCTGTTAGTCCCACCTTCCTCCCTGTGGACAAATTTGGAGGCAGATGCTGCAGGGACAGGGAGGGGAGAAGAGGAAAGATGTGGCAGATCTGTGCTTGCAGGCAGGGCACTCTTTGTTGGAGGGGCTTGTTCGATTCTTTCTCCTTGCCCTACTCAGTGTTACCCCATTAGAAGATTCCTAGTACAATTCAAGCGTCAATTTTAATTGCATCAAAACAGACAGGTTTGCTCAATGCAGCAGTGTGTATGTATGCGCACTAGAGGGGGCAAGGCATTGTGCCAAAGGAGGAGGGGAGACCCCGCCCCCCGGGGACACCATTGCTGGGCTCGCCAACCAACGTGCCACAAGGAGGAAGATGCTTTTGCCCTCGAGTCCACATTCATTTCTCTCGCTGGCAGTCGCTTGTACCAGGTCCGGATTTTCTTCAGTCATTGCTTGGGGAGGAATAGGGAGAGAGGCTGGGCCATTTCATTGCCCCTTGCTGCTTTCTCTTCTGCCCCCACTACCTGCCCACAGGGGTGAAGGCACCGGAAGGACTGGGGTCAGTCCCTGGCAAAATGGACTCGATTGAGCAAGCAGCCATGGTCCTTCCCCAGTGATGAGATCCACTGAGGCTTTATCTGAGGACAGAGGAAAAAGCCAAATGTTAAGTGCTTTGCTGAAATCAAATGTTAAGGAAGAGGCCACTGCTTCAGCAATGTCTTTGAATGTTTGTATTTTGGAAAACGTGTGGTATTCTATTTTACTGTTTTACAAACTGCTTCAAAGCACTCAGAGAACTTCAGCTGTTGGCAGTCCAGAAACAAAATGAAATGATTATTATAACAACAGTACATTTCTATACCACCCACAGCCAAAGCTCTCTGGACAGTTCACAGTCTTTAGGTCACCCATCCAGATTTCAACCAGACCCAGCCCTGCTTAGCTTCCAAGATTCGGCAGGATCAGCTGCTTCAGGCTACTGGGAAGCTATAGTGTGGGTGTTCTACATACACGAAGGAAGGAGTGCTACATGAGCTGGGAGCTTTCCACCTGACAGCACAATCCTATGCATGTTTGAACAGAAAAAGGTCCCTCAGCTCCCAGCATCCCTGTGGGAGCGATGGTGTATTTTCCCCTATCTAAACGTGCATTGGACTGTACACTTTATGAAGAGCTTGGCATGTTTCTTCATAAAGCGTACAGTCATTGCCATGAAGTGCTTTGGGGCAAATTTTATTGGAGAGTGTTCTAGTTACAATCACTGGCAGTCCATTTAAACTAACATACAAATGGGATTTGCTCTCCATAAGCAGTAACAGCATAGCCTTTGACATTTAAGGAATAGCTTTCTTTCTCCCCGGGAAACAGTCTTTGCCCACAGCAGTATCTTAAAAAAGGCTCTGCAGCAAAGCCCGTACTTCTCTGACTGTTCTCCTTGCAACTTTGCCTCTCACATGCAATTCTATCCAAGCTTCCATCTCCTACGTGTCCCAAGCACTGAACCATTAGGTTGCTTAGTCAGTCCTGCAAAGTTACATTTAAGGATGGGAAGTTGGAAAGTCTCTCTTTCACACAAGGGAACAGAATTTTTGGAACATCCTCCTCAACAGTCTGTAATTTACAGGTGTTGCCCTTGCCTCACTAGTAAGTATACCTTTTCCTGACCTTTCCCAAATTTCTTCCTCCCCTGTTCTTTTTTGTTTGTTTTTGCCTTCCCTTCTGTCCATGTCTGCCTTCTCCAGCCATTGTCATTTCTCCTGGGAATTCTTTAATCTTGCTCAGTCACCACCTGCCTTGCTCCCTGCCTTCCTTTTGTTCTTTTCCCTCACCCTCTTTTCACTGCCACCCCAGTTCAGGAAATGTTTGCTTTGGCTGATGGAGTGAGTGCCAAGCGAGCAAACGTTGCTGAGAGCACCAACTTGAGCCACTGCCCTCTGCAACTTCCCTCTCCTTGCTACCTCCACTGGCCTAGGAGCCTGGCTGTGTGCAGGGAAAACCCACAATGCTGAGCGTTCCAGAAGAGGTGGCAAGCCTCACCAATCCAATCCCTCACAAACACATACCATCTAATCCTTCCTTTGTTGGCAATTTAAACAACTTGGCCTTAGAAGAAAATCTTGAACCGTTCAAAGATCTTAAGCTACTGTTGCTGACGGGCACGCAGGAAGAACTTGCTGTATTTCAAATTTGTTATGTATGTATTTGGACAGTTAACCTTTTAAATTAACACAGGTACTACAGAAGTGCTATATAAATGCAAAATACAGTATTTTACCTCTCATAAGATACATCTCATTGCCATTTGTTAATTCTCAAGATCTCTGGGTTTGCACATTTATGTTGGAACTTACAATATCATTGTATTTATTATCTTTTAAGAGAACTATTTTAATAATTGTAGGTTGTGCCCAATAACATCATTCCACTAGCAGAGGGGTAGTCAACCTTCTTCAGCTCATGGACAATCTGAGAAACTGTTGTGGGTACCACCACAAAATGGCTGCCATGGGATGTGTGGCTAGCCACAACAGAGAAGTACTCTGCCCAAAAGAACAAATAAAAAGAGGCAGACCTGAGCCCTCCCAAACACCTTTTTCAAATGCATAACTTTCAATGCCCTCAAATTTGTTTCGACAGGATACCGGCTGTTGGTAAAGAAAGGTGATACTTTTTTGGAAAAAATGGAAGGGATATGGCACCTCACCAAGCCTGAAGAAAGGTATCTGAGTGTGTATTGATAAAATACATTCCAAAGGATAATCGTAATAAAAAGAATCAATGCAAACGCTAGCCTCTGTTCAGAGGCTGTGGAGACATACAAAAGTAAAAGGCTGGTTAGATCCAGCAGCAGCCCCTGCTGGGAGCTGCCCTCCACTGAAAGACAGACAGAATTTTGGTCTGATCCAAAAGAAGTGCAAGCATCACCATGCTGGAACATAAAAAAATGGGGGAGTGAAAGCTTGAAGGAAATTGTAGGGTTACAGGAAATAGGCAGAAGATAGGATCTGTAGAAGAACCTCATAATATCACAAAACCCTTAGAAATGGTTGCCTTCACTACATCCTTCCTGCTTTTCTTGCAGAAAGGTCAAAAAGTAGCCATGATACTGATCAGTCCCTGTTCTTGCTCCATTACCTGCCCCCAACACCTCACCTGGCCACCGGTGGTTGATGCTGCTGCTGCTGTTCTGTCTGTGGGGAGCTGCACTCAGGTTGTGGCGCCTCTGTCGTCCCCTGAAGCGGTTGGGTGGAATCAGAGGTAGATGGGGGAGGTTCTACTGTGCTGTTGAGAGAAGGGGTGGGAGAGAGGAAGGCATGCCACTGATTATGGGGCAGAAAAATACAGCACACACACCCCACCCATCCCTGGCCTTGTCATGTCACATAACATTTATAAATACATGGTGTAACACACACTTTCCATTCTCAGTCTGTTCTGTTATGTTGGGGCCACAATCCCCATCAGCCCTAGCCAGCTTCGCCAATTGTGAGAGACTGAGAGCTTCAGGTCAAACTATCTGGATAGCCACAAGCTTCCCTGCCTCCTATTCTGTAACTAGTAAAGCTGCCATTGCCTTATCAGGCTGTGTTTCTCCTTCAGAAGTTTATGGTTCCCAACAGCTAATACAGAAAAAATGCAAAGGATTCAAAGTCAGGGATGCTGAACTGCCAGCAATTTGATTGCTTATTGAGATCCCATCATTTTTTAAGAACTCAAAGCAGCTTACCACCACCTCCTCCTCTCCATTTTATCCAAACAACCCTGCAAGGTAGGTTGGGCCGTCTGTTCCTGGCCCAAAGCCAACCAGTTGGCTCCATGGCTGAGCAGAGACTAGAATCCAGATCACTACACTGGCTTTCAGTGTATGAGAGCAAAATTGCTGTCCACCCACCCAAAACTGGGAAGGAAGGAAACTGTTTGTTTCCTCTGACTTTCTGGAGTGTGGTTCTTTAACCTCTGCAAATATTTATTCTTTATACAGATTATTTTAGCTTATTGACATCTTTTTTTATATTTTAGTATTTCCCCATAGCATAGCACAGCACGAAAATAAATAAAACTATTTTATTTGCCTGTAAACAGGAACATTCTCTAGGGAAAGTATCACAGGTGCTTGCATGGTTTTTTAAAAGCAGAGAACAAGTGGTCTATTTGCGGTGCTTTCTTTCATGATTCCACAGACTGGTAACGTAAAAAGCTCCACCATCCTCGGCTGGTCTTGAGAGCCCAGCCACAAACTGCTGCCACCAGATGCCTGCCATTCCTGGTCCCTCCTGGCTTGAGGGAGGCAAGGTCCCCCACCTCACAGCAGCTGAGGAGGCCCTTGCTTGCACCCACGTTCCTGAGGGAAACAGAAGCAGGGAGTGGGCGAGGCTTAGCTGATGCAGGGCAGCAGCTACGCAGCAGCCAGTGAAGGCCCTTCCTGCTCTGGCGCAGGAGGAGGAGAGGTGGGAGGCTTGCTGCATTGGCTCTGAATACAGAAGACATTCTGGAAACCTTGGCCATGTGGCAGAGATGAAGACGCCCGCCTTCCTCCAACCGAGCCTCAGAGCTGGGGAGAAGTGGGGAGCACGCTGCAGCTACCATGATGATTCCCTTCTCCCCGACACTGTTTGCAGCTTCTGTGTTGGGAGGATGGCTGATTGTCTGGCAAGGGCACTTGAGAATAAGTGTCAAAACTGGTAACACAGGCCAGCCTTCTTCAACCTGGTGCCCCTTCAGATGTTGTGGGCCTCAATTACCATCAGTTCCAGCCAGCATGGCCAATGGCCAGGAATTCTGGCAGGAGGGCTCAAAATATCTGGAGTGCATCAGTGCAGAAGGTTGGCAAAAATCATACTTATGCTTAATCTCAGCTAACCGATCAATCATGTGTGCGTGTGTCCGTGTGGGTGCCTTGTCAGTCTTTCAATATACTTGGCTATTACTTGATCAGTTTGAGATTTCCAACATGCATGTTTGTATTGAGCTGGATTACTGGACACCCATCAAAAAAACTGCCTTTCAAGGCAATGTATCACTCTTTTACCTGGCTACTGTTGTCATGGTGGAGGGATTTGGTGGATCACATCCTTCTGGGGGTCCTGTGTCCGGAGTAGGAGGATCTTGTTGAATACTAGAAGCTAGGGCAGAGGTATGTGGGGGGAATACCATCAGAAACGGATTTGCACAGGGGATAAATAGGGGGCATGCAAGGTACTGAGCCAGGGAATAGCCCTAGAGATGATAAACTTGGCTCGTCTGAATAGAGTTGTTAAGTTCTAAACTTTCAAGCAGAGTAGGCTACAGGTGTTTTTTTTCCCTTTTCCAACTCCCTTTCAAATTAATATGCACTAAACACACATGAATATCTGGAAAACCCATAGCCTTAGGATTGCAAGAAAGTCCATAGGATTGGGGGGCAAAAAACTCCCACACTGCACAAAGGAACACAATGATTTACACCCCTGTATGTGTATATGCATGCATGCATAATTAAATAAATAAATAGTTTCAGGTGCAGAACCAAAATGTGCTTGGGGTCTGAATGGCACTATCCCTCCACTGTCCATGTTCCCAATCAGAGATACCAGGATCCTTCTAGGGTGCGTACATTGTAATCAGGGCTCATCCCCCTGGCCTAGTCCAAAGAAGCTCTGCAGGCTGGATGCAGAATCCCTGTGGGTTGGATATTCCACACTGCTAAAGTAGATGATAGCTGAAAGGGTGGTTGGTCCTTTCCATCAGACCATTAGGAACCTAATTGCACCTGGCTGCCTACAGTTTTTCTTGTGACCTTAGCAAAAGGCTTAGAGGGGATGCTGGAACTATACTTCAGTGTATGACATAAAAAGCAGAGGAGAAATTACGGTTCACTTTTTATGGAAAACTATAATTTGCCCAATCCACACTGCAAACTGATATGCAGGCACCCTTTGTTTTTGCACATTAGCAAAGTCTGAACGTGATTCTCTAATCAAAAGCCTCATCAAAGGATGTGTGCAAGCATGCATTCCTTGGGGGAATATAGCATATGCAAAGGCATATATTGAAATAGTGTTTGCAAAAATAAGGGAAATAGTATTTCTTAATAAAACCTTTGCAAACTGATACAATAACACATTAAAACCAATTAAAACATAACAAATTGAAACATCTATAAAAGCAATATAAAAAGGGCCACAGCATTCAGGCTAAATGGTAAAAAAATTTCCTTAAAAGGTATGTGAACAGGAAGAAAGCACACCAAACGTCATCCATACAGTTCAGACAGCAGCGCACACAGAAATATTTGGTGAAAATGTAGAAGACGGGCTGTTTGAGTTTCCTAATAAGGACACTCTGTATGCCACACATGATGGCGCATGCTGAGCGGTATGGACGAAAGTAATGTGGGGGTGGAATATGCTGAATAAAGGGATACCATTCTGCAGATACAGAGTATTACCCACCTCCTGCTAATGATACATTGCTTTGCGTCACTTCCTGAGGCAGGTTTGCAGGGGAGGCAGGGCCCACAAGTGCTTTGGAGGGACTACCGAGGTAAAGAGAGAGAAATCAATAAGAAAAAGAATGTCTGTAGAAACCCCTTCCATACGGCCCGAGACCTGTCTCACGCAGCATCAGTTCTATTCAGTGAGATCCATGAAATCACACCTCCCCCAATAATCTCTCATTCCAGACGCCCACAGCATCTGAAATAAGCTAAGCACTCCACGGTCTCACCTGTCTTGCTGTGTCTGGCTTTCTGTAAAGGAGGCCCAGTTCTCATCCGTGGTGAGACAACAGCCATCTGAGCTGGACTGATCCCACACTGCTGCTCCTGTGTCGGCTGCCACGGACTCTGAGGACACCAGAGAGACTGAGGAAAGATCAGAGGGGTTGTCCGCCCAGCTGGAATCTAGAGGAGCACAGGGTTTACTTAGCAGGAGGTCAGATCTCTGCTGTTATCAACCACCCTCTGGTGGTAACAAAGGGTCCTTATATAGCACTTTAGCCAGTACTCTATAGCAGTGGTTTTCAACCTTTTTACAGTTAGGGACTGGCAAAAATAGGAAAATTATTTTGGGGACCACTGAGGCAGAAATAAAAAGCATTATATACATAATATAGCATTTTCTGTATTGATTTTTAAATACAGTACCAACAAAATACAGTACCACCACTTTCTCTGCGGTGGCGCCTAAGTTATGGAACGCGCTCCCCAGAGAGGTCCGCCTGGCGCCGTCGTTATTTGTTTTTCGGCGCCAGGCGAAGACCTTTTCATTCAAGCGGCATTTTAACTGTTAACATTATTGGTTTTATCTGGCCAGGGCGGCTTATTTTATACTGTGTTGCTGTATTTTAATTTTATATTTATATTTTAATTTCTATTATAATTATTTTAATTTATTGATGTGAGCCACACCGAGGCTTCGGCGAATGGGGCGGCATAAAAATGTTTTAATAAATAAATAAATAAATAAACAAATAAATAAATAAAATGAAAATTCTCTAAAATAACAAGAAACTGAGCAGTAAGAATGCTAATAAAATAATAAAATAATGAAATTAAATGTAATCAAAAACAACTGCAATTTTTAGAGAACAATATGTAATTCAAATAAGGCTACTGCGAGAGCTTCTCTTTTGCGTCAGATTATCCTCAAGTCCATAAGCAGTAGAGAAACCCCCATTTCAATTCCCCGGCCCCAACAACCAGGTGCTACAAAGAGCTCTGACCTCCAGACATTCTTTCCTCCTCTTCTGTTTGTTCACCACAACCGTTGCTGACACGAGTAGCATCTCTGTCTCCCCCGCCAGGATCTTCCTCCTCGCCTCCTTCTCCCTCTTCCGAGTCCTCACTCTCTTCACTATCCGTGCTGCCAAGGCTTCTGGAAAGATAGTGAGGGGATTGGACAGAGAAGAGGAAAGAAGGGGGATATTCCAGATTGTGTGCACAACCAGACCTGCTCAAGGTTAAAAAGAGAGACGAGTTGGGCTGAAGGCAAAAGGAAGTACAGGCAAAGATAAGAGGAGCAGGGAAAGTTACTCTTAATTCCAAGTAACTAAAACTTTATGACAAACATTGCAATTTTTTAGGATAGGGAAAGGCTGCACAAAAACAAGGGGAAAGGGGTGGGAGCCCCAGAAGAGGTGGGATCTGCAGGATCTTGGAGATTTGGAGTAGGACCTCAGGAGAGGCAGGCCTGAGGTAACAGCTTCCTGAGATTTCAGGGAAGCCACTTTTCTTGGCCTGTTACAAGAGACCCTCTGCTCTGAGGTGGTGGGGTATTCAGGCCTCCTGGAGGGAAACTGAATGCTACCAGAGACACTTCAGTAAAAACTGTTACAGAAACACAGCCTCCATGGCCCACATGTCAAAAGGATAAGAAAAAAGAAGCACTGTTGTGAGGAAGGACAGATCTTTTCTCTGTAACCAAATGGGGACAAAGAACATTCCAAAATAATGCTTTTGACTTGTCAGAAAGGTTGCTAAGAACTGACAAAATTTGAGAAAATGGCTCGGGCAACAAAATTCAGGGGTAGCATAATTGCTGGCAGTGGCCAAAAAAAGGGGGTGGAGGGAGGAAGAGCAAGAGGTTCTTACATTAAAGACAAGGCATAAATGCTGACAGAGGAAGATGTATCCCGTACAGGAATAGGTCTCTACCAAACTAGAACAACATGTTGGAGGGGTCGAACAAAATCCCCACAGTGCATTTTTAGATGTGGGCAATTAAAGGCGTGATCCTATCCTTAAACAGAAAAAAGTCCTACAGCCCCCAGTACGGATGCCTGCAGAATGCTGGGATTCATAGGATGTTTTTACCATCTAAACATGTACAGGATGGTGTTCTAAGAGGCTTTATGTTCAGTGCCAAAATTTCCATTTGAAGTAAGCCATGAAAAACAAACAAGCAAGAACTGCACAGGGACTTTAAGAACATGGTCTCTGACATGATTCTTGGGCTGAACAATGTTAGGAGGAAAACATGGGTACCAAAGAGAGAGTTTTATAGTTGGCCTTAAAATGCTTGCTCACAGTTTACAAGGAGCAAAGACTAAACAGAGTATGGGAAGGGGAAGTAGATCTAAAGAGAGGACTTGCATGGCATAGAACAGAGAGGCAGACACTGTACACCAATTCATCACAGGCTTGGATTTCATGACTACTAATAATAGTCCTATACATTATTCAGTGCTTTTAGATGTGTTGAGCAATGTACAAAGCAACCAGTCCCTGCTGAACCAGCTTGCTGTCCATTCGTGCTAAGCAGACAGGGGCAGCAGACCAGTCCCTGCTGCAGAAGGGTATATACAGCCCATTTGAGATCAGGAGTTGTGCCCTCCCTTGCGGCACTTTCTGGGGTTGTGATGGGTCTAAAACTCTTGAGGTGCCACTGCGTTTAGTGCCAGGTGACTGCTGGAAAATCTTCACCATGCTTAACACATTAGTACAGTTAGGGAGAAGCAGAAGCAGCTGTGAAAGGGAAGGTCTTGTGAGCTTGAAGGGCAGCCTGCTTACTTAGCAGATAAAGGACATAACCTTGCCCATGTTTCTTTTGCTCACCAATGGAAGAGGAAATGACCTCTAAAAATCTTCCCGACTCACTTGGGAAGGGGACAGAACATGCCCCAGTCCCTTCTCTATGAGCAGGAAGAACTTTCACAATAGGTCTATTATTTCCATCTAAAGAAACTGAACAAAAAGTGGAGGGCAGAAAACAGAAGGAAGGAATATGTACTTTAGACAGGAGGCTTCGAGACGGTCACAAGAATCAGAGCTGGCAGGGGCTATCTAGGGTCCATAGAGTCCAACCCCTTGCTCAGTGCAGTCACTGAAGCACTCCTGACGGAAAGCTGCCTAGTCTCTGCTTGAGTGACTCCAGCAACTGAGAGCCTGCCACCTCCCTAGGCAGTTGGTTCCACTGAGCCTATTAACAAAATCACAGAAGGGAAAATAAACAAAGATGCCTTATTTCCTCCACTATGTGCGCCAGTCAGGAGTTGGGGAGATTTGCATAATCACCTCCCCTGGCACTGCTTTCCATGTCATGCAAACCCAGGAAGAGTGGCTTGTTGCCACAGTTAACAAGCCCCCCAAAACAGCCCTTGGATTCTGGGCAATTTGTTAAACCCAGTAACAAGCCATGCTAGCCAGGTTTGCATGGTATGTCTAATTGTGGTGGCAAGGGAAATTAGACAAACTTCCCCACATGTGACTAGCATGCCCGACAGGAGAAATAAGCCAGCGTGCCTAATGCTCTGACCATTAGGAAGTTTTTTATGATGCTCAACTGAAATCTGGCTTCCTGTAATTTTGTCCCATTATTACATATGGATGATAGAGTCCTTGATGATAAAGAAGAGGTTGCATCCATCTGTATGACAACCTTTAAAGCACTTAGAAAGTGCTATTATTTCCCTTCCTCAGTCTTCACAAAGCTAAATCTATCCCGTTTCAACTTGCAGGACTTTTATTAGTTAAACCTATTTTTTCAACAGAAGTGTGCAATTAAGCAGGAAGTATATGAGCTAGTTTGAAGTTAGGGGAAAGGAGAAAAAAAGAAAGGTACTAAGATATTTCTGAAAATAAAAACATGCATAGGAAGAGCATTCCATGTGAAAAGAGAAGTGGAGGGAAAGGCAGCAAGGGCCCTTTGGCCTGCAATCTGACGGAAGCCCGCTCCAGAGCAGCCCTGCGCCTTGTCCAGGAGGTGTTCTCCTACCTGACAGCTGTGGACTGTGCTGTGCCAGAAGAAGCAGTAGCCTCCTTCTCCTGCCAGATGTCTTCCCCATCAGAACCATCCGCCTCCTCCTCATCATCGAACTGCTGGATCCGCTCCTTGTAGCAAATGTCAAACAGGTTGGAATTGGGCTGTGGGAGAGGGGAGAAAAGAGGTGGATCAGAGGACAGGCCAGATTGAGTGGGGAGGGAAAGAGAGGTGGCTCCAGAAGAGTGGCACTTACGCTGTCATCGTCCGCATTCAAGGAGAAGGTGATGTTGGCTGTCTTGTCGAAGGGGGCACTGAAACAAAGTAAGGAGACCACGGTGGAGCCTGGAAACATGACGGGTTCCTTGTTTGGAAACAAGGGAAGGAAGAGGGATCCACATATTGTGTTGTGGGTTGGTAGGGATTTCTCCTTGTTTTGGTAGCTCTGGACCTAATAATCAATTGTTTCACATTTCTGTAGCACTTCAAAACTCTTTACCAGCAATAACCCTGCACTGGTCCGTATCATTATCCACGTAATGCGGATGGGAGTGCCAGGACAAAGATAGCAGCCTGCCTAAAGCCCATACAGTGAGCAAGTTCATGGAGAGTCTTTCTAGAGTGTGACTGTTTTAGCTGTATTTGCTTTTCTTGCAGCCAAACAGCAAACTGATTTTTCCCCATGACAGCATTTTAACAAGCACAACCCTAGCCTTGGGCAGGGTTCTCTAGTTCTCATACCCTTTGCCAAAGCCCCCTTCCCAGAAGAAACGGAAGCTTCAGTTCAATTCCCTGTTACCAGTATTAATTGTATTGCAATGTATGAGCTGTTGCAAACTACCCAGAGAGCGTCAGCTATTGGATAGTATAGAAATAAAATATCATGAATGAATATATAATCATAAGGAGGGAATCCAAGTAATCTAGCAAAGAATCCAAGCTCGCAGAGGATCTAATGAGGCTGGGATTTTTTTTGATGGTGTTCTACGGAATTCACTCCCTCTGGAAATCCATGTGGCTCATATAAAATTACAGTTATATTCCACCTTTTTCTTTCTCAAGGAACTCAAAGAGCCTTACATAATTCTCCTCTTCCTTTCAGACTTATCTTAACAACAACCCTATGAGGTAGGTTGTCTGAGTCTGTGACTGGCCCAAAGTCACCCAGTGAGCTCCACTGCCAAGTGGGGACTAGAGCCCAGGTTTCTTGAGCCCTAGCCCAGCACTCTTAACCACTGCACTACACTACACTGGCTCTTTTGTGTGTGTGCATGTGTGAGAGATAATTGTTTCAACTGCCATTCTGCTAATTGCCATGCTCTGGAATAACTTTTTTTTTATTTTAAAAGACGTATATGTTTTTTAAAAGGCTGGTTTATACCATTCTTAATTTTACCTTGCCTTGTGAGTGGTATTGTGTCTTCAATGTCTAGTTTACATTTTAAAATGGAGGCTACCATCAAATGAGAGGCTGTGAACAGGCAGAACAAGGTTTAGGCACAGACTCAGTCGCAGAACAAGGCAGTCAGAACAAAGGCCCCAGTCGCCACCAGCAGCAAGTGGGCGAGCCGGCCATACAGCCCACCCACCGACCCTCCCTACTGTTGTCCATCAGCTGCCACCCTTGAATGCACAGGCAAGCATAAGGCTCAACAGGCACTTGAGTTTTTGCTTATGGCCAGATCTGCCTGGATGATGCTGGTCTTGGTGGGAAAAGAACTGCAGATACAGACAGAGCCCAATGCCCCCACTTGTGGCTAGAAAGGTGCATGGCAGCGCATCAGGCATTACCTTTTCAGCTGTCGGAAGTGAGCACTGGAGGGCAGATAGGCAGACAGAGAGGGAGAGAAAGAGAGAGAGGCAGACATGAAATCAAGGGGGCTGGGGAAAGAGGGGACTGCCCTGGGGTGGATTGATGAGGGGATTGCCAGCAAGGCCCTGGACTCCTGAAAAGCAGACTACAGGCAGCAAACAAAAAGTATCTCAATGACCCAGGAATCCAATCCTTGTTTTTCAGGAAACATAATTTAATTCCAGCAAGCTGAGCAAAGCAAACTGGGAGCAAGAGTCTCTAGGAATGTAGGTCTAGGCAAATCTTTTCTTCTCCCCAAGAACCTAATCAGCTTGGCTTCCAAACCTTTAAAGGAACTGTTCATGCTCTGCTTGTGGGACATTCTAGGATCATCTGATTATTAATTGTAGAAAGCAGGATGTTGGACTAGAACAGCTTAAGGTCTTTATCCAGTAATGCGCTCTTTATGTTCTTATAATCCACAAATCCTCTTTTAAAGAAACCAAGAATCTGAGGCTCTGCTCCATCAGTCTAGATACCTCAGGAAACAGGCTGATATCTGGGTATGCAAGGCAAACCTAGAAATATCCCCACCCTTACTTTCTGGCCTCACCAGCCACCTGTTCAAGAGAAGCCAAACAAGGATGACTTGAAGGCCCAGCATTCTCTGAGGGTGCATGGTGAGTACCTAGCACAGCCTTCCCCAGCCTGGGTCTCTCCAGACATTTGGCCCACCGACACGCATCAGCATGGCCAACGATGAAGGATGACAGAAGTCACAGGCTGCAACATCAGGAGTGATGGAGCTTGGAGAAGGCTGCTCTAGCATCTCCCAGGAGCTGCTTGTCAACAAGCATAAGAGGCAACAGACCAGCCCTTTTACTTCCTCCAGGTGAGCACTGAGCCTCCTTGTCACACCATGGCAAACTACCAGACTCAGGACTGCATGTGCAATCACATGCAAATGACATTTGCCCCAGAGTTCTGGAGGGCCAGTGAATAATCTCCTTTCTGAAAATGAATTCACAATGAAGCTGCAAGAAACTAAACAATGACATGGGTGGAGATGATCGATAGTGGGTGTGTGTCCCCTCCCTCACATTATTAGTCCCAGCAGATGGGGCATCGACAATGCACCCTCCCCAAGTCTGGAGTCCTTATTAAAACATGCTTCCTCCCCAAAGTGTGCAGAAGGCCCCCATGCTGTGCTATTCTTCTCACGGAAGGTGGGGATTACTGGCAGCCCACAAACATAGGACAAGTGAGAAAACCCCCAAAACACAAATTTAAGCTGACATACACAGTGGGGAAGTGGCAAGGGAGAAAGTGAATATGACATCACTAACTTGACATTCTCTTCCTGCTCGCCAAATTCTTCGTCATTAAAGCCAAAGTGCTCAATGAACGCTGAAGTCATCTGTTGCAGCTGGTAATCAACAAAAGCCTATAAAAAGGAGAAGGAAGAGCAGACAAGGACACAGTTTAAATATGCATACTGGTGTGTGTGCATGATAGCAGGAGGAAGCAGCTCACACGTTGTAACAGAAACTGAAGAGGAACGTGGATCAGTAGGCTTTTTCCCCCAGGGCAAAACCACATGCTCTCTATCAGCCCCTTATCTGAATTTAGAACATGAACCTTGGATTCTGTTGACACACAGGACTCATCCCATATAATATTGGTTTGGTACAAGTAGTAGCTTGCTCAGGGTTATTTCATATCATATAATTTTGCAACCTGTTTTTCTGCATAAAAGATACAAAGTAGAGTGAAAGGCCACTCAAGAAGACTGAAAAGGCTACTAAAATTACAACTGGAAGAACAAAATGCCACTTCTCTGCATCCATGGACTTGAGACAAGGATGGTGATGGTGGTGAGGATGAGCATACAAATGTCCATTCCAGGATCCTTCTCCAAGAGAAGGTACCACTTCCAAGGTGAGCACAGCCACTTACATAAGCACCCTTCAACTTAAAAGCACATATAGAATTTTTATTTGGAATGAAAAGGGCTATTTGGCAGAGGGACCAAGGATCCTACATGACTACGAGCCATCTAGAGTGCAAAATGCATTCCAAGAATAGGCCACAGCCATGGATTCCTGAGTTTCCAATTAAAAGAAAGTTTCTAGCCCTCACTCATAAATTGCATCATTTATTTACATTACTGAAGCAAATGTTGGTTGAAGGGAATGGGAAGGGAGAAGAGATGACAATAACAATTTTTGAAACAAGTGTAATATTTTTAGTGTTGTGCCTGCTTTAAGCTAAAAACGCAAAGTTACTGGTTCTCAGCAACCAAATACATGGGGATGATTCCACTTTGGGATGTGAAAAGCAGAACAGGGGCAGAGGATGAAGCACCAATCTCTACTAAGGATAGGCCCACGCACTTACCTGCTGCAGGACAGCCTCCTGCGGGAAGCTGAACTCCTTGAGGTCGTTCTCGTCGTCATCACTTGACGAATGGAGGTTGTGCATGTTAACCTGAAGTAAATGAGAATTTGTTAGAAGAGCCCTTTGACAGAAAAGGTGGACATTAAGAGTTAATGGAAAATTAGAGTTAATGGAACCAACTACTTCTTATCCCTTAGTTCCTCAACAGAGTCTCATGTCAGAGTTCTTAAGCTCCTCAACTGGACCCTACCAAGCCTCTACTCTCTTCCTTTGATCCAATCACTTTCCTCCCAACATCAGAGTTGCTGTGGCTATTGGCACTCCATGTCCTAGCTGTCATTTGGGCTACTGAAAATGGGCAGCATGGGAAATCAGACATATGGGGGATAGGAAGAGAGAGAGGCCGTGGCAGCTACAACAACTCTGAGAACTGTCCCCAGAAAAACCGTGCAGAACACCCAGTTCAGTGAGTGATACTGGTTAATGTAGTGCTCCCCTATATATTCCACTGCCATCAAGGAAGCTGAGAATTTTGGACAATACTAGCCATCTAGAGCAAGAGCGGGCAAGTTGTGGCTTGTAACGCCTATCCGCCCTAGCTAGCATACTCACAAGTGAGGGATCATGTAAATTGTAGGCCAAAATACTTGGAAGGCCAGAAATTGTCCATCCCTGGTCTGCAGAAAGCAGCCTTTTACTTGGAAAGGGCTTAAAAGATACAGAACCCAGATTCCCCAATGGTAGAAGTTAGGCCCAGCCCATGCAGGCCATAATGTTAAAAAGTAATATTCCTGTGATTACAAAGGAAGGGAAACTCACAAGATCCACAGTGTTCTTCTTGTTAGTCTCTGACAAGGGCCCCGAGACAAACTTGTCCCACTGCTCCTGTTCTTCCTCGGGCAGCTCTGCAAAGCAGAAGATGTGAGCCTGGGGCTTGGTGGGCAGGAGAAACATCTTCATCCATAATATGCAAAAGAACAGAAGTGGCAGGGGATGGAGCAGTTTACCATACGAGGCAGCTTGGAGCCAGAGGACCCAGAGGAATCCTGCCTTCCTGTTAGGGTCAGTATCAGGGCTAGGCCTGGATGATCACCAGTTGCGGGCCAGTATCCAGCAGGGGCTCACTGACAAGAGCTCCCCAGAGAGCACCTCTGCCTGTGGAGCTACTTAGCACAATTTCTACTACAGGCTTAGGAGACCAAACGGCTCTCTCAACTGGAGGACAGTGGGAAGGGTTGTGCCTTGTTTTTAGCGCCGAAATCAAGTATCATGTTTAAAACTTGTAAAAAATAATTAAATGGTTCCCTGTTAAGTGGCACTTCAGTAGTTGCCTTACTGCTTTCGCCATGCTTGTGTCACATGTGAGAAACTCCACTCTGAATTCCTTCTCCTCCATTGGGCAGGTCAAAGGGGCAGAGTATGAAGAACTTGTCCACCTTCATGATTCAGTCTATGATCAAGCTGTTGCCTGGTTTACTTCTCTTAAAGGCAATATGAAAGCGCAAATTCTAAACTCCTTTGGGCCAATGTCCAGGAAGGAACATGACCCACAAGTAATATTACATCACAATTCAGCTTTTAAGAGGTATCTGCAAGTTAGGGCATCTAGGAAAGCAGGGGAAGTTCACTTGAGAGAATCTATTTTTTCTTGGCAGCATGGCCAAAGTTCATGTCACCCATTTACTGGTGAGGATGGGAAAAGTGACAGATTTAGGGAGAGGTGGAGAATTGACTGGAGGGATGGGGAAAATGGAGGGGGCTGAAGGAAGCAGTCTCTGAGAACTGATTCCCTTGGGCCAATTTTTTTGCCTGAAGCGCAGGTAGCTGTGGCACTTGGTGCTCTCTACAGGTCCCACTGAGCCTTCGGGAAGCCAGCATGCTTTTCGCTGACACCCAAGTAAGCTGCTGTCAGCTGAGCAGTGGTGAAAAAGATCTCTGTTCTCACATAATGCTATTAGCAACACAGAGACAACAATCTTAGCTCAGATCACTGGGGGTGGGAGATTTAATTGGGATTGCTGGGAAAGTGGGGTAAGTTTTAATCTCGCTTTCCTAAAGGCAGTTGTGCAGCCAGAATTGCTTTCCCTGCCCTGTTAATACCCCTCTCCACCTCTCCCATCCCAGGACAGGTCATAATTCCCCAAGCCCGCTTGGAAGAGTGCAAACTTCCCCTGCGGGGATGGAGAAGGTCCTCCACTTTTCCATCTCAGCAAGGAGAATCTCTGCATCCCTACACACTGAGGATGGAAGAGTTGTTCTACCTCTTTCCCACTGCTTATTTCCCTTCTCTTGCTCCGCTAATGAGACGGAGGAACAGAAGATCCCAGCGCTCACTTGCTCGCTAGCACTCTGCCTGGTAAGCCAGCCAGTTGCAGCAATGATGAGAAAAGGGAAAAGGCGTAAAAGGAACTGGTGACAATGGTGGTGAGAACGTAGATTCACCAAAGGAGGCCCACACAAGGCGCCTTGCCAAAGGGCCCTCGAAAACCTGAAGTCAGCACTATTTCTGTTGCCCCGCTGTAACCCATTAGTCTCCTGCCTTTCTCTCATGAAGACCTATACTATCAGCAGGGACTTTAGCTGCCCAGCTTTGGAAGCTCTGGACTGAAAATCATATAAACATAAACTTTGGCTTACTTACCCTAGGAAATTCAGTAAATGAATCTATGTGCACACTCAGAGCAAACAGAATTATGCAAACAGTTAACCTGACTTCAGTTGATCACATTTAATTTATTAGACAGATTGTAATAGGATTAGCTTCCTGAGGCTGCGGCTACTGAATTTTTTCAGTAAGAGTTGGCTTGACCCTTTTCAAGCCTATGCAACATCATAACTGTAATGGGACAATGCATGTGTGTTTCAGGCTCACATGGGAAATCACTCAGTAGATTACTTGAAAGCAACCGGATTCATGAACTATTTGTTAAATATTAAATTTATTGCTCTGAGAGGGGACATGGAGAAGGAATACAAGTATGTCTTTAAAACCAAAGGCACCCTCCATTCATATTCTGAACTATAGTTCATAAGGAGGTCATGAAGGCAAGAGCCCCATCACCAATTGCTACTCAGTGGCAGACTTTCTTTGAACATGGAGGTTCTAGCTAAGCTATTAAGGGTTAGTAGCATTAATAGGCCTGTCCTGCTTAGACTGCTCTAGTTTCCTTTCAAAACTGTCTATAGGAATGTAAGAGATTCATAATTGGGCTTCCAGTTGAAGTCCGGGTCCAATTCAAGGAGCTGGTCTTGACCTATAAAGCCCTAAATGGCTTGGGACCAGGATACCTGAAGGAATGCCTCCTTCCTTATATGCCCTCACGCCCCTTAAGATCTGCGGGAGAAGCCCTGCTCCGAGAACCCTCTCCAAAAGAGGTAAAAAGGACATCAACTCGGAGTAGGGCTTTCTCTGCGGTGGTGCCCAGACTGTGGAATACACTCCCGAGAGAGGTACGCCTGGTGCTAAGCTTTTTTTAAACTCTTTTCGGCGCCAGGTCAAAACCTTTTTATTTAAGCGGCATTTTAAAAGATAATAGTTTTAATGATTCTTCCAGTCACTTTTGCTTTGTTCTATTTTGATTTGATTTATCTGATGTTTATTTTTTCATACGGTATCACTGTTTTAATCTGTGGATGATGCTATTAGAGGTTTTAAATTGCTGTAAGCCATCCTGAGATATATAAAGGACAGCATACAAAAGCTTTTAAGGAAGGAAGGAAGGAAGGAAGGAAGGACGGAGACTAGGGCAGGTGTTCCCCAACCTGGTGCTCTCCCAATGTATGTGATGGGGAGTGGCTGTCCAACACATCTGGAAGACACTAAGTTGGGCAAGGCTACCCTAGGGTAGGGGTTGGCAACACACAGTCTGCGAAAAGCATTCAATGCCTTGCCAGCTGAAAAACACACACAAAGCCCAGTGTTTTTTGTGCTATGACGCAGTAGTTTTCAACCTTTCCACAGCTGGGGACCAGCAAAAACAGGAAAACCACTGAGGCAGAAACAAAAAGCACCATACACATAATACAACATTCTGTGTATTAGTTTCCAAACACAATACCAAAAAAATGAAAATTCTCCAGAAACTGAGCAACAAAAAATGCCAGCAAAAGAGCAAAATACTGAAATTGCCATGGTGTGGCTCCCAGGCAGCTCGCACCAAGGTGTCTCTCCCCTCTGTGGCCTCTCTGGCAGGATCAGTGCACCCCCCGCAGACACGATGCAACTGAGGAATAAGTGGTGGAGCACAGCCAGCCCCCAAGCCAGTCCACAGCAAACAGGATGTGCCCCCCCCCCGCCCCCCAAGGACCAGTAGGAAATCTCCTGCGGACTGGTGCTGGTTCCTGGACCAGTGGTTGAAAACCACTGCTCTGATGGACTAAAAGGGTAACATTTAGCTTGCAAAAAGCTATAGAACTGTTTGTTAAATGTTGGTGTCAAACTGGCAACTAAAACAAAAATAACAGGGGGAGCCATGGAGCAAAAATGGCACCTGGGCCTCTTGCAGTTGTGCACCCCTGTTCCAGGGGACATGCCTGCAGTGAACAGATGAAATGAGACCCGCAACTGTTTACTAGGGCTGGTGGGGAATTTTTCATGCATCTATATGAGGTTAAGTGTTGCTGAGTCACAAGGTCCTGTCTTATGCTGCATTTTCTCTAAGGCAGTTAATTTTATTATTACATTTATTATTATTACATTTATAGCCTACCTTTTACCTCTTAAAAGGAATTCAGGAAGGCTTACATAGTCGACTTTCCTTTTTTTCCCCACACCAAGTTGAGTATGCTGAGAGTCAGTGACTGGCCCAAAGCTACCCAGTGAGAGTCATGGCTGAGCGAGACTAGAACCTGAAACTCCTCAGTCTAACTATACCACACTGCCTCTATTATTAACAATAGTACAAAGGAGAAAGCCTGGACTTCAGTTTTCAAAACGCTCACATGCCTATCTCCTGCTGCTCTATCATTCAATCCTTCTCGGGGGAAGATGACCCTGCAGCATGACTGCAAGTTTGCAAGAAGGGTCTGTGTGGTGTTGCAACTGGAGCAAGGATGAGGTGCTGTTGGCCTCCGCTGTCTATCAGCCTCCGCCAGCATAACCAACAGACAGTGACTAGTTGTATTTCAACAGCTTCAAGAAGGCGGCAAGTTCCCTATTTCTGGACTAAAGTGATGAATTTAGCCTACTGCAGAAGGATGGCAAGGGATGTCTGCCAGGACGTGAGGGTTATCACACATTCCTGCCAGCACTCCTTGAAGGAAGGCTGGGATAACAAGGCATTCATCTTAATTTTCCAGTAATATGCAACAATAACAAGTTCCTAATATTCACAAGGTCAGATCTGTTCATTTAGAACAATGCCCACTCCATCATTCCATCATCTCCATCATCATCATGACTTTTTATACTTTTTCTTACAAAAGCTAAAAACAAAAACCTCTCCTTTCTTGGTGCTTACTGAATGAATATTTTCCAAACAGCGCATGCAGAGAATGCTGGCAGAATTCTCTAAATGCAGGAACTTAATCTGAGTTCTTAAGGCTTCAGAATTGAGCCTACTCTACACCCTTCAGTCTAGAAAGCAACCAACTTCATCTTACCTCAGTGTGTATTCCCTGTATAAGCAGCAGATCCTAGGCCAGAGTCGACCACAATCCAACATTGTGATAAGAGGCCCATGTCTCTCCCACTTGAAGTTGAATGCCCAGAATATTCCACCAGCCAAAGGCACACTTTGGCAGCCAAGATCATTCAGTGATTTGAAAGGACCCTTCCCAGAGCGCCCAGTCCTCACAGTGCCCTGAAAGCTGCTTGTCCCTGTTACCTTTCAAGAGCTGCTTGATGAGGGTGGAGTGGGGCCATTTCTCAGAGCCTTGAGCTAAGGCATTGGCAATGCGGGTGAGGTGCCCCATGTAGCCCTTGCGTCTGCCCCCATCCAACCTGAAAGACAAAGATGGAAATGAGGCAGGTAGCCTGTTCACAGAGGACGGAGAGGGTGTGGCAGATGTCTCCTGACATAAGCAAGAAATAGAGACAGGTGGCATTGCAAGGGGGAGGACGATTTTGCAATTGTCAACACACTGTGGCCCACAATTTAATTTCATGTGGCCCCATCCCAATTTCCAAAGACCTGTTCATGCAATCAGTTTAGACCTCTGGCAAAAACGAGCTGTTCCTTCGTTAGCAGCCCACTCTGTGGGGAGGGGGAGGAGTTGCAAAAAGTAAAAAAGGGTGTCCCACCCACTCCTAGCTGTGGCTCTGTCCACCACTGATTTTGGTGCCACTCACTGCAGTCACGGAGTCTTTGACAAAATACCGATGAAGGAATGCAACCTTCAGTTGGAGATGCCTTGAATGTGGGACCATCTGCATACACAGTGAATGCTCTACCCATGAGCTATGGCAATTTTCCATGAAACTGAGTTTCAGCCCTCCTCACAAATCAATCTTGTGGGCTATTGCTGTCTCTCCCCTGGCTGCAACTGGGCCGATTTCTGCCAGCTCCCAGGGTCCAGAGGCTATTGGAAGATATTCCAACAGCATTTCCAAAAAACTTTCTACATAAGCATAGGCAGCAGCTGCATTCAAGGGGCATGGAAGAGCATAAGGATTCTGGGTGGCTGATGAGAGTCTAAATGAATGGAAGCAGCCAGTGAAATGCTATGACCAAAAGGAAATAAAACAGAAGCCCTGAAACATTATGGAATGAAGAGAGAGAAGGATTAAATCAGGGAAGAACTCCAGGAAGATAAAACGGTATAAAAGTAGAAGGCAGCTCACTCAAAAAGGGTTACACGGCACTCCAAAATTGCTGTTTGCCTTGGGCTGGAGACCCTTAGAGATTCATGTATACTAGGCAAGGGGAGAGAAGTGCCCAGTCATGCCAACCCAAAGTTCCCCATTCAATACTCACTGTGACTGCTCATTTTCTTCCCAGGCAGACAAAATTCTTTGGATTAAGCGACACCTCTGCAGCAACTACAAGGGTACAATGGAACTCACTCATGTGGAGAAGGTCAAGTTGTATGAATATTAGTACACTGAATACTGCAATAGGAAGGATTCTAGTTTCTCAGCTGGAACCCTAAAGCTTTCAGCTGGCACTGGTGTAGAAAAGTATCGAAAGAGGGAGGGTGAGGTATTGATTCTGGTAGGCAAGTGACAGAACTGCTCCTCCCCTAATGAGGTCTGGCAGTTTAAGAATATGCCAACTAAACCCAGCCATCCATTCCTTCCACTGCCACCTTCACCCTGTCACACTCACTTAGCCAGTCCCTAAAATTGCCTTGGCCCTGATTGCTTCTCTTTAGTTCTTCCACGTTTGAAAGCAAAGGCAATCTGTTGCTTCTCCTGTTTCAACAACCTGTTAGCCCAGCTGTGTGGGAAGAGCTGGAACCCACAGACATGCCCCACAAGACTTACATGCTGGATGACCGGGTTTTCCGGGAGGGGCTCCGAGTGGTTCTCAATGGTCTCATCACCAGTGTGGGAACTGAAAACACTGCTAAGGCAGGCCTCCACCTGAGCGTGTAAGAAGTTGTTGTAGGTATACTTGAAGTAGAGGTCCTGGCAGTGAAAGACACAGGCAGAATATGTATAGCCAGCCAGCAATTTTTAGAATTCCTATGACCCCAAACTAACACCATGCTTCCCTTTGAAATACCTAAATAATAAACAAGTGGCATTACAAACAACCCCCACAGAAAGATTGCCTAATGATGCAACATTTAAGCAACTAATCACCTTGATTAAATCAATTCAGCAACTAGAAAACATTACTCCAATTAGTTCAGCAAACTTTAAAAAGAAAAATTAATATGTTTATACAAATTCAGGTGACAAATGCCATCTTAGCAAGGAGGGTGCACATGGGAAATACCTACAACATCTTGAAGCAAACAAACATGGCTTTCTTCTTTACAGCAATTGTTTCTTTCATGAAGATTTAGTTGATATATTCAAATTCTCAGGGCTAATTTACAAGTCATTCTGGCGATTCCTAGATTGTTTAACCCAGGAACAAAATGGGCAATCATTGCACTAACCCTAGGTTCTTTAACCCATAAACAAGCCAGAAATCCCAGGTTCACACATCATGAAGTAACCCAGAAGCACTTAGTTCAGTAAAACCAGAAATGATCTGTGTTCTCTGCTTATCCCTACAATTTCTGGGTTAAACAATGATATGTGAACTGGATCACTAAAGTCAAGATTTTTAAAATCAAGTAATAGTCCTAGAATTTCTCCAGTGGTTTCAGTATAAATACCATTTTTATCTGTGTGACCACTCAGGAGTCGTCTTTTAAATAAAAGGTTTAGTTTTGATTAACAAGCAATACTGCAAAGTTAACTTTTTTAACAAATTCTGCCCAATGTGAAAATATAGAAATTCCAGCAGGCATTTCAAATTTCTAGAAATAAGCAGGTTGCTTACCTGTAACTGATGTTCTTCGAATGGCCATCTGTGCAGTCACACATATGGGTTCTGCGCCTGTGCAGTGCCTATGGCCCGAAGATTGATAGCTAACGGTTTTGACAGGAAACTCCGCTCCCCTCCCCGCCCCTGTATTATATATGGAGCGGAGTGTCCACCATTTTCCAGTCTTTGATAGACCAGATGTTTGCTCTCTAAAGAAAAAATTTCTACGTCAAGAAAAAATGCTATATGTATCAATAACAAGTTATGAATACAGTATAGGTACCTAGATTAAAAAATAGTACGGTACTGATAACAAGTTCCACCCATCGACACTGAGCGGGGCCAGCGGGTGGGTTGTGTGACTGCACAGATGGCCACTTGAAGAATATCAGTTACAGGTAAGCAACCTGCTTTTCCTCATCGTGGCCTCTGTGCATCACACATATGGGTAGATTAGCAAGCTTACCCTGACTGGAGGAGGGGAGGTGTCATCAATGAAGAACAGCTGAAAGAACGGCTCTGCCAAAGGAACAGTCTTGTCTAGCACGGACGTCTAGACGATAATGTTTAGCAAATGTGCAGACATCGTCAATCGGGACCCCCGCTGCAAAGGCTGAAGAAGCGGCCACTGCTCGCGTAGAATGACTCCTTGGGGTTGTAAGTAAGTCCATCTTAGCTAACTGGTAGGACAAAGTTATAGTGTGAACTATCCATTTGGAGAGTCTTTGAGGGGTAAAGGAAAACCTTGGTCCTGCTCCAAGTACTTCACAAAGAGCCGATTGGAGCGGCGAATGGATCCGGTCCTTGATCTATAAAAGGCTAGGCAGCAGCGTACGTCAAGCGTGTGTAAGAATCTCTCGATCAGATTCGATGGAGATGGAAAAAAGGCAGGTAGTACTATCTCTTGACTCATATGGAAAGTAGTAGCCACCTTCGGTAGAAAGGAGGGATCCATCCGTAGAACAACTTTCTCCCTATGGAAATTTAAATAGGGAGTGTCTACCCTTAATGCACAGAGTTCACTAACTCTTCACGCTGATGTAACCACTACAAGAAAAGCTGTCTTCCAGGAGACAAGGCGCAAATCAACAGTCGCCAAAGGTTCGAATAGGGGTCTTGTTAATGCCTAAAACACCACTGAAAGGCTCCAAGTAAGCACAACTGGTCTGATCGTTGGATGAAGGTTAAGTAGCCCTTTAAGGAATCTTTTTGTCAATGGTTGGGAAAAAATGGAGGATCTCTGAATTGTACCACAGTAGTAAGAAATTGCTGCCATGTATACCTTTATGGAAGATGGTTTAAGTCCTAAATGGTGGAGTTCCAAGAGAAACTGAAGAATATTCTCTATGAATGCTGAATATGGGAGAAAAGAACAAGACTCTGTGAAGGTAGAGAATCATCTCCACTTAGCCGCGTATGACTTTCGGGTTGACGGTCTTAGCGGAGATTTGAGAATGCTTTTTAATTTCCGGGTGTAAAGCCGTCAATCCTGATGGAAAACTAGTCGAATCCGATGACGAAGGAAAGGGCAACGGATTCGAAGCCTCAATCCGAGTGACTGATTCGGGGACACAATCCGTAGAAAAGTTAAACCTTGTCGGTACTGAATCAGTAGCAAGTGTTACCGAATCTGCCATGCTGTTAGTTTCAGCGACGGGAGATCTGGATGGAGAACTGTGCCCCCCTGCTGAGTTATCAGATATGGAACAATCAGAAGGTGAATCTATTCGCCTTGAGATATTCAAAGAAGTGTTGAAAACCATGCTTAGTGGGGCCCCCATGGAGTTATCAATAGTCCTGTGGCCCCGTTGTGGGCTATCTTCGATATTACTCTCATAATGAGGGGAATCGGAGGGAAAGCGTAAAAGCTCATATTGTCCCAGGGGATCATAAAAGCATCCCCTAGTGATCCTTGTCCTATTCCCACTCTCGAGCAAAAGTTCTCACATACCCTGTTTTGCCAGGTAGCGAACAAGTCCATGTTCGGATGTCCCCAGCGATGGAAGAGTTGGTCGCATATGTGCCGATCCAGCTCCCATTCGTGGGAAGTCGACATTTGTCTGCTTAGAAGATCGGCCTCGACGTTGTCCGTACCAGCTAGATGTACAACTACTAGAGCAATGTCTCTCGGGATGCGCCAACTCCATATCTGCATCAATAGCCGAGCCAGAGTGAGAGACTTCGTCCCACCTTGTTTGTTCAGATAAAAGACTGTAGCAATGTTGTCCGAGGCTATCTGAACTACTTGATGCCAAAGAATGTCCTCGAAGGATCGCAGAGCCTTGGACACTGCCAGAAGTTCCAGGACATTGATATGATTCATGGACTCCTGTCGATTCCAAACACCTTGAGTGCGTAGGCCGGAGCACAGTGCTCCCCATCCGAGCAATGACGCATCGGTACCGAGAGTCACCACAGGGCACCGAGGTTGGAACAGGACTCCAATGTTTAAGTTGACTGGAACTGTCCACCATATCAGAGATTGTAGAACAGAGGAGTGGAGCTGAATCAACTTCATAGGCATGTCCTTTTGTGGTCGAAACATCTTGTTGAAGAAGAGCTGAAGGGGGCAAAGCCGAAGCCTCGCATGTGGAACAAAGGCAACCGACGCAGCCATGAGTCTTTGAATAGATCGGGCAGGAACCGTTCCGTCTCGTCGCATTCGATGGATGTGTCGAGCAAGAGTGCCGTACAGGAGGCATAGGCGTGGAAGACCTAGCCCTCGGTGGAGAATCTTGTATCTCGCCATCAGGAGATCGAGCCCCGAGGTGGATCCTGGTGTGGTTCAGTTCCCGTACGGCATGGAGAGCCCGGAGGAATAACCCTCATAGCCTCCTGAATGGTTGGACCCGAGGGTGTCAGGACCACAGCAGTCGGGACTGAGGAAGCCGCCGAACCTGAGTGTCGGTGTTTGGAATGCTCGGGTTTTTTCAGTTTCTTAACTGGCTTTTCGGCCTTGTCTTTCTTGGCCTTCTTATGCACAGACAGCTTTTCAGGGCTGCTGTGTTTCCTCTTTACCCGCTGCTTTTTTGGCAGGGAAGCAGGCTGATTGCCCATGATGGGAGTACCTTTGTCCAAAGGGCGTGAGGGCAGAGCAGTAGAGGAAGGAGCCGGACGCTGTGGTGGAGCAGTTGGCGTTGGATGGCGGTCAGGTGCAGCCGAAGTTGTAGTGGACTTAGCCACCAGCCGGTCCAATTGTAGGAGAGCCTGGTCCCACAGGAGTTTACGCAGGTGATTCTCCCTATTCTTCCTAGCCTGCTTAGAGAAGGCCAGACAGTGGCCGCATTTGTCCGTCCTGTGACCTTCCCCCAGACAGAGGAGGCACAGGTCGTGCGGATCCGCTGCGGGCATCTTAGAGCCACACTCTACGCACTTGCAGAACGCCACTCGTTGTGCCATCATGGAAAGAGAAGAAAGAAGATAGTATAGAGGGAGTAGATAATATTTTTGTTTTTTTGGTTTTTTTATAGAACAACAAGAGGAGGAACGAAGAAACTAACAGGAACACTAATAATAGTAATACAAACGAGGGAATACTAACTTGGAAAAGAGAGAGAAATCAACAAAGCTGAAAGGCGAGTAACGATCTTAGCGAGAGCGAAAGCGGCACGCGGCACAACGAACGGCGGTCGCAAAGACTGGAAAATGGCAGACACTCTGTTCCATATATAATACGGGGGGGAGGGGAGCAGAGTTTCCCTCCAAAACCGTTAGCTATCAATCTTCCGGCCATAGGCACTGCGCAGGTGCAGAACCCATATGTATGATGCACAGAGGCCACGACGAAGAAGATCTTCATCTTGCCAGCACTTTGTATCAAAGCAAGCAGGTCAAACTGAGTTTGAGGCAACAGTGTGCTAGTACTGCACTGGTACTCACCAACATTGTGTCAAGGGCCCCAAGCTCTATAATCTCATCCAGCAGCGCTGCATTGTTGGTGCCCAATGAGCTGGCCAGCAGCTTCACAACATGCAGGCGCGTGTTTCCTAATGGAGGGTCTAGGATTCCCCACGTTGTCTGCAGGGCCTCTTTCTGCCAGAGATAGAAAGGTGCAGGCACAATGTTTGTCCGTCTGTCTGTCTGTTCGCCCGCCCGGCCGCCCAAGCATTCCAACTGCCAGTCCCATCAACTGCCCCTAATATAGTTCATTTCTCCTTTTCACTTCCCTACTGGGCTGCACCAGAGAGAGGGGCCTCAGGATATATCAAAAATTATATCCTGTTCCCCAGCTTGTTTGCTCTCTGTTGAAACACACACACACAAAAGATCTTTCTCCAATGTATTTAATTTGTCTTTGATTACAATGTTGTGTACAACACCTTGAGATACCGTGGATGAAAGGTAGACTATACAATTTAAAAGGGCAGTTTATATGATTTTAAACTAATTTTTTAAACATACATTTTCCTGGCATACAGCAGTAGCCAAATTACAGCTCATGAATGAACACAGCTAAGCTAAAACATACACACATGCCCAGAAAAACCGTTCAAACTCTTGTGAGAGCCTATATGGCTGGGATTACATGGACTTCTTCTATAGCAATGGTCTGAGAATCCTATTCTTCCAACACAATAATCTAGTAGCTCTCTTGGTGCTTTCTTTACCCTGCTTCTCCAAAGCCCTGCCTTCTTCACTCCCAGTCTAGGCAGCAACAGCAGCAAATACATGCACTCACCTTTGGTGGATCGAGGAGCAGCCGGTGAAGCTCCCTGAGACGCTGTTTGATGGCAAGCAGAGTGCCCAAACTGGCCTGGCTGGAGGCCACTTCACAGTTGGGCCCAGTCATCTCCATCTGTCCCTCCAGGTTGCAGTAGAAGCCCCCCATGCCACCCAGTTCTGTCCTGCAAGGGAGATCATGGACGCTTAACATACAGCACCAGGCCTGTGTGCCCTGGAAGAGCACAAACCTCAGATAGCTGAAATATGTACTATTTGAATATATAAAAACAGGGGAAAAAGCTAATCAAGAGGGCTCCCCCAGACCATCTAGTCTGACCCCCAGCTCCAGCTGGCTCCGCTCATGTAATTCCCATATCATGCAAATCATGTTTGTGAAGTCAGAAGTTCTGAATTAAGGTTCTGGAACCCATCTCTTTTTCTTTAGTACAACACGTTTTGCTTCTTGGAGTCATGTTGCAGGAAAAAAGAAAAAAAACCCTTCAATAAGGTTTAGTTTGCCTTAAATACAGGAACTAGAATAGGAAAAGTGCAAACATAAGAAGATACATATGAAAGAAAAATGTCCTCACAGTAAAGGGGCAGACTGATAGGCAACAGAAGCCCTGACCCGCTATGTGGTCCCACTGTGGTTACTAGAGGCTTCACAGGATGCTGCTTTTCTGATCTGCTAATTGCTACTATCATGTCTAGAAGCTATTTTAAGAGAATGTGGCAGCACTACTACAAACAAGACTCATCTGTTGAGGTTCAGAGTGTAAAAACCTGCTAATCTCTTTGGCTCTGCACAGTTTTCTTGACATGCAAGAAACGGCAGTCCCCCCCCCCCACCGCCATACATATCCCCACCTGGGTCTGCGTGGTTCCAGCAGGGTCAGCAAGACCTGGATTCCATTGACAATGACAGACTCGCTCTGTTCTCCATCCAGCATATTGCTTAGCAGCTGCTCAATCGTCTCCTGCCTGGATGCAAAGGAACAACATTGAACTTGTTACTAAAACTGCTATGCAATTTTTAACATTAACATATACTTACAGTGCACCCACTGTACACTGAAATAAAATAGCAACAAAAAAGACTGAATTAGAAAAATTAAGCAGTGAAACTGAAATATTTCCGAAGTTCCAAAGCAGGGGTGGGGAAAATGAAGTCCATTAACATCTGGAGAGCCGCAGCTTCCGTGAGTTACCCAGCCAAGCCAATGGAAAGAGCTAATGAGACTGGAAGTCCACTAACATTTGGAATGCCACATGTTCCTCACCCCTGCTCTGAAGAGTGTCCCACTGTGCTGTCCAGGGGGCGACCAAAAAGGACCCTGGAAATACTTTGGAGTTGCCTCTGAGCCATGGAGGGGAAGGGCTGCAAGCTCCTCTGAGTGCTGGAGGCTTCCAACACACTTTTCTGCTAACATTTCATGTATGTGGTAGGTAAGCAATAGTAGTAATAGTTGTTGCTTGGGACTGGGTGATATGAATATGTAAGTCCAGTCTTGGCTCACCAGCACTGGTTGCCAGTGTATCTCCAGACTAATTTCAAAGTGCAGGGTTTAACATAGCTCTCTTGACCCCAATACCTCAGGAACTGCTTCTCCCTTTAAAACCCTTTAAAATGAACCCTTTAAAAGCTCCAAAGCCTTTTTAAAAATCCAAACTCTCTCTGTGCAAGGGCAGAAAACTCTGATTCATCTTTGCAATTCCATAAACCTGCACCCTGCCCAAAGTTTATTCAGGATTACCACATTCAAACTTGATGTACTATTTATTAGGTTGCACCAATTCGGAACCAGCTGAGAGCCTTCTATTATAAACAGTCACACTGATGCCAGACAAAGAGACCTGACCCTTTAGGAGGTTTTCTTGCATCTCTGCACCAGGTGGGACACCACTGCATAGCTAGTGGGGTCTCAATGGAAAGCTGGACAGATTCATAGAGAATTTTAGTTTTGACAGTATGATTCTTACTGATTATATTTAATCATTAATGCATAATATTCACTCAGCAAAACCAGTGGTTTTGCATGGGTTTAGTTTCCTCCCACTCCTCCATTTTATTTATAACTGATAATGCAGTTAGAAATTCTAAAAATGACTTTTAGTAAACAAACATTGTTTTTTCTTTTCTACATTCATTTCCGCTTTAGAGAAGTGACAGTCACTGCTAACCAAAGGGGCAGCAGCGATTCTTCAGCCTTTGCTGTTTTTCCAGTGCTGTCACCAGCTTTGCACTCACTTCTCAAGCGTGGCCAGTAGCTGGTCCGGCTCGGGACTGTCCTGGATTTGGATCATCTGTTCACGGCTCAGCCGGATGATGTCACACAAGGACTGTGAAGCATTGGAATGTTGCTGTGTGGAGAGGGATAAGAAATTAGAGAGCAAAAAAGGCATAAAGATGGCACCTCAATACACCTTACTGAATTGGTCACCTTTCTCTTTGTGTTTCAATTTCAACCTAGTGTGATCCCTCAACAGAAAGGAGTTCTAAGCCACCCTTCCCTAATTTGGCACTTTCCAGATATGTTGGACTAACACTCCCAAAATCCCCTAGCCAACTAAGCTGGGTGAGAGATTCCAAGAGTTGTAGTCCAAAACCTCTGGAGCATGCTAGGGTGGGGAAGGTTTTTCTAATCCTAATCACCTTCCCTACACACACACACACAGTCTAACTTCCTGGCAGAGGGTGGATGAGCATGACTGTACATTTGCTATACTCACATTGTCATCCTTTGAAGGGTGGATCATCCCAATGAGCCTCTGCACAATCTTCTCCTCATTAAGCCACTTGGCATTATGAAAAGTAAACAAACAAACAAGACAAGATTAGGAACGCTTCTTTCAATCCTGTTCTCATTACCCACACTAACCTGTGCAGAACAGAAGTACATATGTACACACAATGAAGAAATAACCTTATATTAACTGCAGGCCTAGTGCTGTTACAGTGTGAAGGCCTGTTTTAATAGTAGCTGCTAAGTGACATTCTGAAGTTGGAAAGCGAAACAGAGAGAAAATATTGTAATATTTATAGATGGGGCCTGAATCAGGTGAATTCAATTCTGATATGCTGGAGATTCTAGGTAGGTGGGAAATGGCAGTGGACCGTGAAGCAGTGGGCACGTAGGGACTGAGGCAATCTGGTGGCAGTCACTGAAGGAGAAGGTGGGAGGGTGGTATTGTAGAAGGATGAAGGGAACTAAGGCCTGAATATTGAGCTATTCTGTCTGAGAGAGATAACCGTAAGTAGCTGGTGAAGATTAGGGTTAGGGAGCAGATGACTGTGTTGCTAGATGAAGATCACACGAGCAAGCAGTAAAAACCCAGATTAATTGCCCAACCACCCAGAAATACAACAGAAGGAGCTTTGGCAGTCGGAGAGAGATTGTGACTGCATTTGGCTGGAATGGAGGTTTATGAAATTTGGTCTAAGGTAAAAAGTCATTTAGGAAACTTATATTTGCAACAGTGCCTCTTGGGTCCTTAAGAAGCATCAGTAAGCATTGTTTTGAAATCCTGAAAGTAAATATTAGCTTTCTCTTATGTACAAAATATCTCTTTAATAAAGCACTTGCTGAATATTTCAACTGTTCTCTCATTTTGGTACCCATCTCTTCCCAAAAGTCAGGCTACTAGGAGGTTTCAAAAGCATTCTAACAGAAGTGGTTCTTTATGGCCTGAACTATAAGAATTTGCGGAAAATAAGAAATCTTACAGGTAGGATTGCCAATGAAGTATTAACTTCCCCAAAGACAATGGTAGCACTGGTAGAAGAATTCCCCACACACAGACTGCTCCAATGATACCCCACAACACTGTGCCCCACGGAGTTTCCAAAGGCTCTACCAGCACCCTTGGAATCTTCCCGGCAGTTGCCATGTTATTCTGGGCTTAAGAAGTCCCAATAGTGGAAGACAGTGGGGGGAACACCTCAAAATGGGGATGCAATGAAACACTGCATATGGAGAACTGTACAGTATTTTGTAGGACAGGAATCTTGAAAGAATGAGAAGTTTGGAGGGGTGTATCTATTGCATTTGAGAGGGCTGAAGAACTGTTATTCTACAGAGCAAGCATATTTGATTTCAGATATGATTTTACAAAGCCACCAGAAGTACGGGAGACCCAGAGGATAGTGAAGATGTACAAATCCTGGCGGAAGAGTATCATTTCTTAAGATGGGCAATACCTTAAAGTACCAAAAGAGACAATCAGTTGCTCAATAAGGAAATCTGAGCTAAACAATGAACTTACACATTTTCTAATCACCTTGTGCCAAAGGGAGGGCAGGGGAAGTACTAAGAACTTCCTCACACCTACAGCAAGCCACCTTTTGGCAGTTTGGTACCCCCTCTGTTGCTTCTTTAACATTGCTCCTCCAGATAGTTAAAGCAGAACCCACCCAGCAGAGTCAGAAGAAACAGGATATGTTAAAGATCAGGTTTGTCACCAGGTTCAAATCAGGAGGACCATGAACAATAAAACAAATATATTCCTCATTCAAGCACATTTGACCACATAACTTTCATTCCCTTTGAGAACCCTTTCATTCCATGACTGGTAAACAAAGGCTTGATGAAACATTTCAAGGAAGAGGGCAGATAGGAGTGCCTATACAGGATGCTTACATTGAACACATCCTGCCTGAGCTGTGGCTGCTCCACACAGGTGAGGAGCCGCAACAGTAGGTCCATGATGGCAGAGGTACCAATGTGACGTAGCAGCAGGTTGACAAAATCGTCCTTCTTGCGGAGGAAGGCAACTATCTGGAAGACAGTCAAGGAAGTTAGCAGTAGGGGTGTGGGGAAGAGAAGTAAGGTAAGACCATTTTTGGAAATGGATGTCCTGGCACATTTTTATCAATAACATGAGACCCAAACCCTGGAACACCCTGGAGAGGAATGGCATATATTTGATCCAGGTCAGCCTACCAATGGTTTCATGAGACTCCTTTGTGCATGGGTTACACTGGATAGCTGCATGGTTGTGAGGTCTTTGTATTTTTGCAAAAGTGGTGTGTTCTGGTGATTAAAACAGGGATGAGGCATGTGTAGCCTTTCAAATATTGCTGGATTTCTACTCCCAATATCCCTCACCACTAGCTATGTTCTGATGGGAGCTGAAATGCACCGGCTTCTAGAAAGAAAGACATTCCCCATCCTTAGGTTAACATGCCTCGCTAGGTCTGGGGAGGTCCAGCTTCAAATCACCATTCAGCATGAACCAATCCATCTCTCTCAGTCTGAGGCAGACTTGCCCAACTAGGTATCTTCCAGATGTTTTGGACTTCAACTTCCATCTGCCCAGGAAGCCTGACCAATGGTCAGGAATGCTGGGAGAAGTAACATCATCATCATACAACATCATCACCTTCATCATCATCCAAAACATGAAGGACACCAAGCTGAGGTAGACTAGCCCAGCTTATAAGGTTGTTGAGAAGGTAAACAGAGAAACATGCTATGTATGCTACCCTGAGATCTTTGGGGGAAGGGGTGGATAAATATCAATAATTAGAAAACACAGAACTGTGAACCTGCAAGCAACCCTGCTGAAGACTGACAAGACTGAAGGCCTGTCTTGTCTGGCACATTTCACAAAGAGCCAACCAGTTGCTCTGGGACATTCCTTAGTTGGCAAAAGGTTCAATAACTACACTTATATTTTAACATGGAAAAAGCTGCTTTGAGGGTATTTTACTTCACCCTTTCACTCTGTGAATGTTAACTTCTGGATGTAACCTGGTATAGTACCAGATGGTTTTTAACACGTCAGGAATTTAGAAGAAATGCTTGAGAGACATCAGATGATCTCATGTGATCCATACCAAGTGTTACCACATGGGGGTGCACTGGCAAGAAAATACTTTCATGAGGTCATCTTCCAAGGACTCTCTGCAAGCTAATCTGAATGCCCTATATGAGCATACTAGAGCAATGGAAATTCCCTTCAGCCACATAAAGCAATTAGAAGGCTGGGACATTTGAACAGCAGTAGGGATGGCGCTCAGCTGAAATGAAGTGGCAGGCCAAGAAACCCACAGGAGGGTACCTGATCAGTCTTGCGGTTGATGAGAATCCCCATGACCTTGCTGAAGAAGCTGGCCAACAATGGGTTGAGAATTCCACCAGTCTGAAGGAAGCTGTAGAGCCGCCGTAGGAGAGACTCGTCCTCACCCAGCGCGTCGTTGATCTGCGTGATGTCTGACGTCAGGATCTCACACGACACACTTGGATACCTATGGAAAAGAAGAAGCATGTGCATGAACTTCTCTACCAGCCTCTAATTCCTGAGTAAATTCCTGAGTAAAAGTTGTGCAGTTGAGCTAAACAGCACAGTACTGTGCTATCCACTGGTTTTGCAGGATACTACAGAGAGATAATCCAAGAGAAACAAAACACACTTGAGTGTTCTCAGCTCTACTTCAGGAGAAAATTTCTGCAACAAGGGAAACCCAAATTTCACAAAAAGCTGAATACTACAACCTCTATAAATTGTGCAAGTTGGGCAGACTTGCTTATTCTCTGCAATTTATTCTATCAATTTTAGTCAAGAGATGGAGCAGTGTGCATGCAAAGCACAGAATTTCCCATCAATGGCCTGTTGCAAAGATGTCACTTCCTTTTGTTGATTTCTGAGATTACAGCAGGCACTATCCACATAATTTTAAAGCACCTATTTGCTGCTACAAGGGCTTGAACCTTGCTTTGTGTTCTGTCGTTTCTTGAAATCAAAACAGATACTCAATTATCAGAACCTGTTGTCGCATCAGTGGGTCTATCCCACTACTTACCCTTATCTATAGCAGTTGAATCCTGCTCTCTCTCAGTGCTAACAGTAAAGTAGGAGATGAACTGAAAGTCCAAAACCATACAAACACCCCCAGAAACCCAATTTTATATTATGATTTTGACTTTCAGTATTTTGCTGTTTTCAGTGCCCAGAAGGTATTACCAATAACAGTTCATTCAGGGCAGTGGTGGTGAACATTATTGTAAGCTGTCCTGAGATGCTGTATCGGGAAGGACGGGATAAAAATGTTTTAAACAATAAGAATAAGAATAAGAAGTAACATATGGCCTTCCAAATGCTGTTAGATGGCAACTCCCACGAGCTCTAGCCAGCACAGCCAATGATAAGAAATAATGAGAACTGCAATCCAACAACATCTGGAGGCTGACTTGTTTCCCATCCCTGATTAGAGCAAGTTGTCTCCCAGTACTATCCCATTCAAGGAGCACTGGGAACAACAGGTATGGGAAAGACCTGCCTCACTGTGAAAATTGTACCCTATCGGTGCTGTTCTGATTGGTAACTCTAATGCATACAAATGTTTTGAATAGATAATGCATATGCATTAAAGCCTGGGTTATTTCTCACTCAACAACCCTAAGTGCCAGGTTCAACCATCACAGCAAATAAAGTGAAAAAAGGAGAGCAGTCTTGTACACTTTCAAAAGGTCCTGACAACTCATAGGCTGTCAGTATGTCCAAAGCAAGCCAATATCACTATTAATGCAGATACTTGACCACTTCAGCAGCAACTTTCCTGACCCTGCAATAAGCAACAGAGAATTAGCATTGGGTTTGCACACTCCTCCCTCACACATCCCTGCTGACTTACGCACAAGCTTTGATGTAGAAACACCGGCATGTTTTAACAAGAACTCTGTTCTTTTTATATCTGAAATGGAAATTCTGGATTAAAAGAAAGAAGCATCTCCACTCTAGAGCCAGTGCATGGGCCATGCTTTACGAAGGTTGGAAACTTCTGGTTCATTCAGATACGAAGCCAAACCATGGAATGAATGTCAAAAATTACAGGCAAACATTGTTTAGTGGTGCTCAAATCTTCTCTCTGTTTAGGACTTTTTTCTCTTTGGCCTTCTTTGATGGGGCAATGGTCATAGCTAGAGTGTGTTAATTCATAATTCATACATCCTGGCAAGCCATAATTAGTACAAACCACAAATTCTGATTCTGGTGTTGCCAAAAAAACTACAAATCAGGTTTGTAAATTTGAATAACATGCTAAACCAGAATTTTTAAAAATGAGTGCAGCAAGCTCGTGCCTTGACTTTTTCTACATTATTTTTAAAGAACAAAATACTCACCTGATTCCCAGCCCCCACCTCATATTTTAAAAACGAATCCTACCGGTAACCAAAAAATTAAAGAACCAGGAGAAGGAAGATCAATCTGCCATACTTCTTCCTGGTTCTGGAGATGCTGAAATTCCACATACAGATATCCCTCTCTCCTCCTTATCTCAGAAGGTCTACTTACTTGTAGCGCACTCTCTCATCCACGTCTCCAGGGGGTTCCTCTGTCACACAGGTGACCAATGCTTCCATGTGCTCGGGCTGCACCAGGAAGTCCACCAGCTTACGGTTGACCACCTTGCATTCCTGTAGCACATCCTCCTCATCCAGAAGCTCAAAGAGGGTCACGTTGCCACGCTCCAAGAGGGTGTCAATGTGGGAGGTCGTGTGGAGGTCAAACTTCCAGAACATGGCTTGCTGTGCATAGGGAGGAAGATAGAAAGGTGAGCAATCAAGCAATAAAGGAGAAGGGGAAGATGACTGTGTGCACCCATACAAGCTAGTTAAATGTTGGGCTCTGAATAAAATCACCCCTGCAAATGCTGATTCTCTGTAAAATAAGCCTTCACACAGGTAGGGAATCAGAGTCAAGCCATGCAGCCAACTGGGTGACTTTGGGCCACTCACACTCTCAGCCCAACCTACCTCTCAGAGCTGTTGTGGGGATAAGATGGAGAGTAACAGGTGAAGAATGATGTAAGCCACACTGAATTCTTTGTAAGAAAAAGGTGGGATATAAATCTGATAAATAATAAAATAAAATAAACAAAGTCAGGGTTTTTGGAAGTTTCAGTCCAAACATCTGGAGGACAGAAGGGTGATGTGGAGGCTTCAAAGTAAGAAGCAGCCAATACTGACAGGAAGGGAAAAGCTACAACTGAGAGGTTAGGCCAACTTTGTGGAGTTGACAGAGCAGCAGCAGGGAGGCTAGGAGAAACTGAGCAGGGGAACAGAGACCACCAATCTGGTTTGAGGGAGATTCAAGAGAGAAAACATGGAGAAACATGGATTTGGACAGAGCCTTCTCATCTTAGGGCTGGGACAGAAATGGTAGGAACCAAAGCTACTAGCTACGATACCAACATATATCACCTCCAGTACCAGAAGCGGCATGCATCTCAGTGCCAGCTGTTGGGGGGCAGGAATGTAAGGGTGCTGTTGCCCTCATGTCCTACTTGTAGGCTTTCTATAGGCATCTGATTGGCCGTTGTGCAAACAGAATGCTGAACTTCGTAGGCCTTTGGTCTGATCTGGCAGGGTTCTTCTTACGTTATTAGATCAAGTAATTCCAGATGGGCAAAATAGGTGATCTGTTACTGATTAACTATTCCTTAACTGAAGGCTTGTCAAACCTTTTAACTCATAGGCATCCCTTCTAAAACATGCACTAGCTTTTGCCCCTAACCACTTTTGTAATCACTGGATGCACTGATGAATGTGACAAATTATTAAGCCCAGCAGTATAAATCCCAAAAAGTAACTAATAGGTGACCAAACAAACAAACATGGAATTCACATCTACTGCAATTTCTTTAGTGACAAACTCTAAAAAGGGCTGCTGACCTTCTGGCTCCAATTACAGCTGACTAGTCAGTAGCTCTTTATAGAGGTAGTCATCTAAGAAACTGCAATAGATGAGAGGTATTTTGTTTTGTTTTTTAGATCCACTGATAAAGAGCCAATTGCTCAAAATGCATTCTCAGATTACACTGCGATGAAGGGACAAATAAGGGGACTGTCACTCTTAGAACTGTGCAGGAGATTAGAGACAGTTCACTTTCGGCAAGCATTCAATCCACCAATTTCTTGACTCACAGAGAGACAGGCACTACATGCCTCAGGATTTTGGTCTCCCTGGACTAACCTCCTCCATAGTCAGAGAATCATTCTTTAAATCCATCTTGACAGGGCATACAACATTGCAAGGAGGAGCAGATGGAACACTTTCCCCTCCATTCTTTCAATGCATGCATGTGCTTGGATGTTGATTCTCAACCTTATTAAGAACTGCAAGCAAAATCAAAAGGGAAGCAGTCATTGAGGAGAAAACAGCATGGGAGAAAAATGCTATGATGTGTAGAGGACACAGGCTTGCTTTCTTCTGTGCAAATGGTGGGATTCTGCTAAATGAGATGGCTCATTGCAAAATGCATTTGCAAGTCTCCTCCACTACAGCTGCAATTCAACCTGGCCAAAGGACTTTATGTATCATTGGCAGGGGGAACTGGATGGGGGAACCTGGAGAGAAACAAATAGTAACTCAGTGACACCCTGCTTCCCTTTTCAATTCGGTTGCCACCACAAGTGCGGAGGCCAGAAGTTTTCACCCGGTTTCTAAGCAACCTCTACACAAGGCTTTTGCAATACAGCAGAGCAGGCTGCCTGGCTTTGACCGCAGCCCTTAGATCAACTTTGAGAGGTGGTTGTTTAACACAGGTTGCCAACATACAAGGGTGGAAGGAGGGAGGAGAGAAAAAGGTGCAGACAGGATCTGTGAAGTGCAGCCCTTGATTTTAAAGTGCCAAAGCTCAGAGGTTCACAAGCATAGAACTCATACTTTTTAGGCCAATAATGGCAAGAACCCTTGCGGTGACAAATTTATTCAAAGCATGCATATACTGCCATTCATCAATGATTTCAACCCAGATTACAAACAAGTAAAACAATAAATATAAATGCCAACTAGCAAATCAACATGGAGTTAAAAGTCACAGAATTTAAGATATTTATGAATGTATTTTCTAAAGACGAGTTTAAGACAATGATAAGTTTCCCAAATCAGCCAAGCATAATGCATAACCCCTTTTTACCAACTGTACCACATTAGCTTTCAATTGCATTGAAGTTACATAGGACTGCATTTCAAACATGACCTATTCTCAAAGCAAGTTTATAATTTTCACTGTGGCTAGGAAGGACAAACTCCACAAAGGATAGCTCTCACTCAGCATATTATCCAACTTCAGAGTTTACTAGCTAGAGTCCACCAAACTTGACAGAACACTCTCAATTCTATCTCCAACTTTCTCTTTCCTGCTTTACTTTGACAAATGGCACCTCTAGTCAGGAATGATAAGGCCAGTGTTAGCCAATATTTTAAAGTAAGCACCACAACACTCACATTTTGTGCTTGGGAACCTGTACCTTAGTACAAATAGTAAACTATAAAACATTCCTCAAAATCTCTGTTTAGCAACAAGGACCCCACTGCTGCCAGCAGTGAAAGAAGTGGTGATGGACTTGAATGGATGATCCCTGCCACCTGTTATAAGCAAGCACCTGGATTTTTCAATCCTGTTTATAGTAGAAAGGAGAATGGGAAAAAGTTGATGAGCCCTACTATAGATGGTGGGGGGGGAAGCCCACAGAAATTCCAACATACTACCATCAAGTTTTTCGGAGCCCAAGCTATTATACATATCCTTTTCCTTCCTTCCCTAACGGAAAGCCAGGAAAAAAAAGCACATAAACAGATTATGAATCTCAGGGGGCTGGAAAAGGTGTTTTCTGCGGCAATGCAAGAAGTTCCTTGAATTCATTTGCTCAGCATGCTAACAGAGATTCTCTGAGTATCTGTAATACAATAATTTTGGTAGGCCCAGTCCAACTCCACCTGTTCTGAGAAATGGAAAAGAGGCTTCTGTAATATAAGGTGAAAGCAGCTTGTGTGTCAGCCAAATACAAATAGGATATTTGCCCTCTTAATTCCCTTTTCATCAGGTATTTGCCTGAAAGTTTGAAAAGTCCCTGTTCTAAAACACACATTTGTGCTAAAATTGACTTAACAGGTTTGAAAAATCCCCAGTGGTTTGCAAGAGAAATTCCCCGAGCCAAACTGAGAGAGATGATTAGATAGACAACTGGATTGAGTACAAGAATGCAACATTAAATGACTTTATGCAATTTATTTAAATTTATATTATATTATGATTTTTATCCTGCCTTTTTCCTACAAAGGGCTCAAGGCAGCTTACATCATTCTCCTCCTCCATCTTATGCCCACAACAACAACCCTGTGAGGCAGGTTGGGCTGAGAGTCTGTGACTGGCCCAAAGTCACCCAGTTGGCTCCATGGCTGAGCGGGGACTCGAACCCAGATCGTCTGAGTCCCAGTCCCAGCTCTTGACCACTGCACCACACTGGCTCTCCAATTCAGAGCCAATTCAGTTCTGAACTGGAAAATACCCTACTCATTGTAGAAACATTTGACGCTGAAGCATTAGTGACACACATACTGCTCTAATAAGTGAACATTATATTAGAGTCCCTATTAGAGTTTAAAAATCACATTTGAGCTGAATGAGTTCTTTGCCTTAGCATGCTTTCCAAAGTTATCTCCATCTCCACAAATGTTATTGTGTTTGCCATCTTTCTTATTTCAATAGGATGTATAAGACAAAATACATCTTCCAATCTAGTCTGTTTATACAGTTACGACTTAAAATATTCCTTTACTGTGCTAATTCTTTTTTGCTACCTTGGCTGTGGGCATGTTTATAGCCCAAGTCCTCCAATAATAAGGTTGGACAATTTGTAATCCAGTCAACACAGTCACTGTTTAACAAGGCATGAAAGTGTCTTTACTACTCATAAATAGCATTTGAAATCAAGATTAGAGGCACAGGTAATTTCTCCACTTTCTTCTTACCTGTGCCAAGCAACACCAGATGAACGAACAGAAGATGCACTTTTAACCACTCCACAAAGGAAGTGAGGACATCCAGCAAGGTGAAGGGAGTGCAGTGGTCGGCAGATGTGAAAGCAAGCAGAGAAAGGATTCCGAAACCCTTGCTGTTTAAGCCTTTTTATTCCATTTTAAAGAACATCACAGTGCACGGGGCTAGTAGCAGCTCACACATAAGAAGAGGTCCTCACTGACAAGTTTGCTTGGCTATTCCATCTGAACCACCCCAATGTCACAAATTAACTAACAAGCGCAACAAATAGGTCTGCCATGGATAAAGCGTCACCATTGCTGGGAGAGCAGAAAATGATGGCCAATATGCAGCTCTGAACTATATGCCAGGTATATGCTTGGAAGCTGAAACCAAAGTTTGGGAGTTTCTGAACTGAGCTTCTGAGAATTCATCAAAAGCATTTGATTGCTAATAGAGGACCCTTAACACAAACACAGAGAGTAAGTTTACTAGTACTACATCAAAGCTAACATGTAACGGTCTTATTCTGGCTATCCAGCTCAGTATTGGCCTCTAAGATTCACAGCAGCTGCCCAAGGAGAAAAAGATCTTTCCCAGCTCATTCCCACTTGCATGTGGTGATGCCATGAAATAACCTTGGGGAATTCTACATGCAAAGCAAGTACTTTACCCCAAAACTATGGAAGTGTCCCTCCATACTTCAAAAAAGATGCTAAAGAAACATCAACAGATCTTTAGCTTACCCACCTGTGAAAAGTA